TACCAAACAGAGTCGACCGCCTTCGGCTCTCAATATCAATTTGGGGTAACAACTTTTCTGGCTACATACCTCCGAGTATAGGCCGATTGTCGGAGTTGCAGGTGTTTATCTTTATCAAAATGAGTTCGACGGCACGTTCCGAAAGAAATCGGTAAATTATCTAATCTCGAAGTGCTGGGTTGGCCTTTATGAGAAGATGAAACCGCAAGTATTCCAGTCGAATTTGGAAAGTTAAAGAAGTTGCAGACTCTGTGGATTAATGAAGCAAACTTGATGGCGAAATCCCGGATTCTCTCACAATCTTACGAGTCTTGAAACTCTGTCTTTGGCAATAAACCAGTGACAGGTCCTATTCCTAGTGGATTGTTTTCGTTAAAGAACTTGACAAGTTGTATCTCTTACACAATAAACTATCTGGTGAGTTGCCAAATCGTTGAAGGTCGGAATTTGGTTGAGCTTGATCTTTCGGCGAATAATTTGACCGGTTCATACCAGAAGACTTGGGAAGCTACAGAATCTGCACTGTTTAATCTCTTCAAATCAATTTTTGGAAAGTTGCCCAGCATAGGCCTGATGCCTTCATGACAGGTTTTCGTTGTTCGAAAACAAGTTGAGTGGAGTCTTGCCACCAGAAATAGGCCTCCATTCAAAGCTTGAGCATTTGAGGTGTCATCTAATCAATTCAGTGGTCAACTACCTCAACATTTATGTGCTGCAGGTGTTTTGACAGGAGTTGTTGCTTTCTCTAATAATCTCAGTGGAGAGGTGCCAAAATCGCTTGGAATTGTAGCTCTTGCGCACCGTCCAACTTTACGACAACAAGTTCTCCGGTGAGATTCCTTCGGGCATTTGGACAACTTCAATCTGTCAAGCTTGATACTGAACAACAATGCTTTTTCGGGTGAGTTAACTAGCAAATTGGCATGGAATTTGACAAGGTTGGAAATCAGTGACAACAGATTTTCAGGTCAAATTCCTGCTGGAGTTGCTTCTTGGAAAAATTTGGATGTTTTAGGCAAGCAACAACCTCTTCTCAGGTGAAATTCCGGTTGAGTTGACATAGTCTTTCGTCTCACTACTCTACTACTTGATCGCAATCAACTTTCAAGTACATTCCTTCCCGTATAATCTCGTGGCAGACACTTACCACTTTGAATCTTTCCCGAAATGAATTTTCTGGTAAAATTCCTGCAGCATTTGGGTCTTTTACCTGACCTCTTTATTTAGATCTATCGGGAACCAATTCTCAGGTGAAATCCCACCTGAATTCGGTAGGTTGAGGCTTCATATCTCAACCTGTCTCCAACAAACTTTCAGGAAAGATCCCACATGAGCTCAATAACCTGCATATGAAGACAGTTTCTTTAACAACTCCAATCTTTGCGTCGATACTCCTATTCTAAATCTTCCAAGTTGTAACACCAAACTCCGTGACTCCGGCAAAATTTCGCCAACACACTAGCCTTGGTTTTAACTCTGTATTCTTTGTTCTCTTGGTGGCTATTATTGGGTTGTTTGTGATTAGAGACTACCAAAATAAAAGGCAAAAGCAAGATCTTGCAACATGGAAGCTCACCTCATTCCATAGACTGGACTTCACAGAATCAAACATTTTGTCAAATTTGACAGAAAGTAATCTGATTGGAAGTGGGGGCTCAGGACAGGTGTACCGGATTGCCGTTAACCGTTCAGGTGAATTTGTCTGTGAAGAGGATCTGGAACAACAGAAAACTGGATGAAAAGTTGGAAAAAGAATTTATTGCAGAAATTCAAATATTGGGCACAATTCGGCATTCAAATATAGTTAAGGTGTGGTGCTGTATTTCAAGTGAGAACTCAAGCTTCTGGTATGAGTACATGGAAAACCATAGCCTGGATAGATGGCTTCACGCAAGGAAGAGAAGATCCGCGTCAACAGGGACCAATTCGGTCCATCATGTTGTTCTGGATTGGCCAACAAGACTTCAGATTGCCACTGGAGCTGCACAAGGTCTATGCTATATGCACCACGACTGCTCTCCCAGATCATTCACCGAGATGTTAAGTCTAGCAATATCTTGTTAGACTCTGAATTCAAAGCAAAAATTGCAGACTTTGGAATGGCTAAGATGTTGGCTAAGCAGGGAGAGCCTCACACAATGTCTGCAGTTGCAGGCTCTTCGGTTATTTTGCTCCAGGTAAGAAACATTTACAAACTGTAACTTTGTTTTTTCAATAACACCAATAGTAACACCCGCTTTAACCAATTCTGTTATTTCATTGCAGAGTATGCTTACACAAAAAAGTGAACGAAAAGATTGATATTTATAGCTTTGGAGTGGTACTGCTGGAGTTGGTGACAGGAAAGAACCAACATCGGAGATGAGCATTCAAACCTTGCGAATGGGCATGGAGACACTATGCAGAAGAGAACCTATCATGGATGTTTTTGACCCGGAGATAAAGGAATCAGATTACCTGGAACAAATGACCACCGTATTTAAACTAGGACTTATTGTACAAGCACCTTGCCAAACGATAGGCCTTCCATGAAAGATGTTCAGAATTCTTCGCGGTGTAATCTACAGAAGCTTATGGAGGGAGAAAGACAGAAAGGGAGGTTGATGCTGCTCCTTCTGGCATGCTATATCTTATAGTTATAAGCGTAGTAGAAGGTAACTGATGGGGAAGAAAATGATAGTCTCGTATAAAATTGCATTAGATTTGAGTGTTGCTTTAGAATGAGTCTTATACCACTTCTAGTTTTTACTAGCATTAAGATTTGAGTGTGCTAACTATCTTATAGTTATAAGCGTAGTAAGAAGGTAACTGATGGGGAAGAAAATGATAGTCCTAAAAAATGCATTAAGAATTTGAGTGTTGCTTTAGAATGAGTCCTTATACCACTTCAAGTTGTACTCGTAAAATGGAATCCTGTCCACTAGGTTAGTTCTCGTGTATATTTCTAGTTAATGATCTATAGTCTCAATTTGGACTTCAGTCCTTCAGCACTTCTATATTTTTGAATAGTTGAGTCGTGAAACTTTGACATAACAAGCTCACAACCCAAATAGCACAGATTTAAGCATGCAAAACCCTAGAAAATACTTCCAACATCTTGACAACTCAATCTCAGCCAACGCTTCCTGATTCTGCAAACCAACAAGTAATACTCTATTACAACAAAAATATTAACAACGGACCATATAAAAAGAGCATTAGTTTTATTTTTTTATTGTTTGGGGGAGAGGATAATTGTCACAATAAAAAGTGTATTACAAGGAAGCAAGCGTACATTACATAATACAAACAGTTAAAAGTGATTGTGTAAAATCTAAAACATACAGGACACAATCCAGACCACATCCAACAGGCTCTGTTTATATACACGTCACATTAAACGACTCATAAAATGAGTAAAGCACAGCTCTCAGTGGACAAGAAGTCTATAAAGCACCAGTGTACATAAAGAGTTTCTTGGGCACCCCCGATCATTGCACAGCACAACAAACACCTAAAACAATAGGCTAATTCTCCAGTTATGCATGGTTCTCTGCATGGTTGACTGCATTCCAAATTGGCAAGGCTGTCACCCTTTTGAACTATTTTCTGAAGTGAGCATGATTGCACTATTGTGCACGCACATGTTGAAATATAACGCAGGCCTGCAATAAATGAGGAACTTACCAAGGTGCTTTATCTCATTCTGCCATAGCAGTGATTTTACAGAATGCTGCACTTCCCAAACTTTATGCGTTGTCCCCAAACTCAATCTGCCACAAGAAAAAACACAGAAACCAAAGGAAAGCATAAAAAAATCACAATTTGAATAAAAGAAAATTGTGGGTGTCAAAACATGCCTCTATACCGGCTTCGGCAAAGATTCTGACCTAGCTCCATCATTGGACAATGGTTCCAAGTGCATTATTTGTCTGGATGGACAAGGCGTGTAAGAGTCGACTTGGGTGCCCAACAACATATTAGAGATAAGAAATAAGTGAACGAGTCATGTATATGATCCTCAAACACAAAACATAATCAGGTTCTTAAGCACAGTTACTGGAAATATAGCACGTATGGTGGTACAGAACCTGCCACCACATATGCACCAGTCAGGGAGTGCTTGAGTAAAACATTTAACAAGTTCAAGAAGCAGGAATTTGAGAAAAACACTTGAGGCAATATCAAAAAGATGAAGTCAGCAAAACTAAGAAGCAGGAAAAAAGGTAAAAAGTTGAAATTGTATACATGAAATTAGGTTTCAATTCAATATAGTCATAGTTAAATCACCCAAGTGCGCCTAACTACAAAAAAGCAGCATATTACCCAACTATAACCAAAAGCAGAAACAGGATCTATCAACATAATCAAATTAAGACGAAAGGTAGATTTAGAACCTCCAAGTCCTCTGACAAGCTGTTCTGAAATACCCGTTCCATTTAGACATCCATTTTCCAGAAGTGTGCCAAAATCAGCAGCATACTCACCACCCTGCAAAGATTCCTGACTTCACTATCTCCAAAACTTCCTGTGTTCAACTGCCATCTTAACCCAAAATCCTCAAACAGAGAAACTCACCTCGCCTTGAGGTTCTGAGAGCTGGATTTGTCTATCATACCCTTTCAGCAATTTGTACTATTCCGTTTGAGATACATGGTTTGACTAGTTCTTGATCAACCTTAACAGCACCCTTTCCAATCTAACAGTCCTACAGAGGATACAGTCTCCACACCCTCCATGATGGCTGAACCCATATCTCCGGTTTCAGTATTAGGGACTTCACATGAAACAAGCTTAGGGATGGGTTCCACCAATTTGGCCGATGGTACCTCATGCTAACATACAGGAAAACTGCTTCCATGCATCGAAATCCGTCATTGAGGCATCTGACTTATGCTCTACAGTTTCACCCAATGGCATGTAAGCTATGCACTATCTTTTTCACACACCAAATTCTCACTAGATAGCTGGCACCTGAGACGGCAAAGACGAAAACCCTGCACTATAGCCAATCTGAGATGCTACACCAGATCTACTTGCATCATTCTGGGAAAAAGACAATGGCCTTGTGGACTAATAGAGGCCTGCCTCGCAGCTTTGTTTGGCTTCACCTCCTCAGTTTCATGTTTAATTTTCCTCTTAGCATGTCTTCCAAAAGATGCAGACACATCATCACAAGTTTTTCCTTCCTGATCATTTAAGTTCCTAGATGGTCGAGATCGCTATATCCATCCGGAAACACAAAAGCAGGAAGCTGTTTCTGCGTACATGAGAAACATATATATCCATCCCAGGTTTCCAAAACATGTACATCCCTATCTCTTGCCTGAAGTCATCAACTGTTCCCCGTATATCGAATTGTTGACGTTCTTGATCACTTACTCCCTCTTTCCTCCGCAAACCCATAAAAACGCAGAATTTGGGCACTGCTTGGATGTGTCTAAGTATTCATTTGGATATGGATGGCATTGCAGCATCCCATTGTATCCGCTCTATCTGTACAGAGATACATGAAAATCAAGTATTAGAAAGGAATCAGACTTATGTCTTCATCATTTCAAAAACAATAATCATCAGTAATTCACAAAACTAGGCCGAAAAAACAGCAGGTTATAGCCTCTCAAAATAATATTTTGAGAGACAGACTTTACACTTCAAGGTAAGTTGTCTAAACCGTGACTCCACCCAACCCTTCCAAGCCAGCAAATCATCAGCATCTGCTGCAACTATGTCAACCTGCAGATAGTTCTTGTATGCCTCAAAGAACAGATAAGGCTCAAAAAGAGCACTCCATTGGGCTTTGTTGAACTCAATGTCCTACATTAGAACAAATCAGAAAGGAAGGACCTCAATAATCAAATGTAGGCAGCTAAAGGAAGACATATAACTAATTATACTCTACCTCACAGATCTTGAACCAAACTGGAACTGCTCCATCATAACTCGGAGGTACTTACAGAGACGTTGTAGCTAGAGTTCATACAAGGATATGCTGGAGTTTATATCGGCATATGATGAGATCGGTCCCGAGGGTTTTTACGAGGATCCCATACTGAAGAACCCTAGTTCATCCTCCTCTATTGGACATAGCATGACAGGGTTTGGCCAACGCCACTGCGTGTAAACTTGGAAAATCGAGAAACCAGCATACTAGGAATTGCATTAGATAAAATGGCACACAGTGCAACCAAAAGAGCCAATTTACACCACCAAGAAATCCAGTAACCTATACACAAGGCAAAAAAGAAAATGAAAACCATCATACAAAAGTGAAATAGCCATGACAACAACAAAAAAAAAAAAAGGAAAGGAAAGTTTTTTTTTTTTTTTTTTTTTTTTTTGCCTAAGTAAATTGTATTAAAGAGAGGAGGATTTACAAAGGCCTACAAAAAAGGCGGCCAACCTACATCAGGACATTCCCCGCGGAGGGTGCAAAAAATAAACAAATGAAAAGGAAAGTTTCTCAATTTGAATAAACACCACGCCTTTTAGCCCAAAACTTCAAACATCTGAGCGTTGGCTAAGTAGTGCGCAGTATTTTAAGGAATTAAAGGAAAGCATACGAACGCGGAATAGAATAATATAGGGCACCGAATATTATGCTTACCTCAACATTGGAACATGTTAAGAATTTGATCTGCAACCCTACACCCATTAAGACTTCGAACAGTTTGCCATCATCACATTACACAGCCACGACATGTGTGAAATGTCAACGTCCTGCAAATAAGTTGATTCCAGAACTATAATGACATCAAACCAAACAGGCAGCAAATATCCATCGCAACATATTGAGAAAGCATTTCGCATGCGAGTGTCAAGGTGCTGTAATGTGTTAGATTTAAAACAGTCAAACCAATCAAGTAATAACATGCAATAACAACAATTCTGCCTATTGATGATATGAATTGTTATAGAATCCTGAAAAAAAAAAAAAAAAAATAGTCTGAAAAGTAGTCATTGTGCAAGACAAGTACAAAACTTTCCCATTGACACTAACATTAAAGGAAGTTGAACTTACACCTTGGCCATTTGCCCCTTGTTTAATCAGTAAAGTGTTGGAAGAGATGACAGTATCAGGCTCAAATCTTATAAACCAGAATCAAAAACCAAAGAATAATAAAAGAATAACTAGAAAATAAAATAATTGATTTAATTAACAACTTACTTGGGAACAACCAGAAGAGAAATACTTGCATAAAAAGATCGATTGATACTCCTTGGAATTGAATTTCATAACTGGGACATGAGCATCTGGATTGGTTGAAGTTCAGTAACTTCTTCCATTTCAAGCTAATATATCATGCAAAATAATGAAGAAATCTCCTGGAGAAAGTCACCATAGAATAGTAAAAAACTTTAAAGAGGTTCAGATTCACTAAATACACATGAATCAGCCAAAATATTAATTACCTCTCGACTGATGTAAGATGGCCCAACACATAGAGCAGTCTATGTCAGACCCTGGGCATGGCCTGCCAATGTAGAATTGTTACTAAATCTCCAAACAAGCACACACACATACACATGTCCATATTTCTCATTGACTATGAAATTTCATACTATTGGCAAATTTTCATTGAACTTGAATGCTAAAATGATGATCTCTTTGCCCAATCCTTTCCTCCAAACAATTTAAGAAACCTTACAAGATGCTGCAGTAGCCCCTTGCATCTTTTTGTCTTGTTTTAATTTATTTTTTTTTAAGACATAATCCAATCAAAAGTTTATCCCATGTTCCAAATGGCAAGTAAGTGGATCTCAAATTTCCAACAAAAAGTATCTAATTATTAACTCATTTAGTTACTATACGTGAAATGTGTCAATAGAAACATTGATTCCAATGCCACGCTGTAAGCAAAGCTCAGGCGATATAAACATTTTTGTATAATCTAGAAAATGATAAAACAAAGTAAATCAGAACACAAGACTTACTCCAGACGATAAGACCCAAAAGTAAAAAAACGGCGTTGCATCCTCCACCATCTGATCAGTGTAGCCCCTTGACTAGTCAATTGCTTAACCCAATCTTTTACAATCTACAAAAGCAATCAAGTTGCTCACATCCATCAGTTCAAAAAGAACTTACAACAAAACCTCGCTCTTACCCCGCTCCCGCACATATACAAATTCCTATACTTAAAAAAACCTTTAGTTTTGATTATTGTTTGCAAGTTTAACATGTTGTTCTCTCTCTAAAGAATAAGGCATGGGTTATGTCCCAAGCCCATGATTCATCATCATACGAATTCCTGAAGCAGCATCACATGAAAGTTATTAAATTAAACCTATCCAGTCGGATAAAATCTCCAAGTGAGTTTTGTCTTTTAAGCATAAGTGGGCCAACAACAAAACAACTCAAATAAACTGGTAAGTTACCTGATCAAGGCACCCAATACTTCTTTTTTTTTGCATCTCTTCTTCGCTCGCATACAGACCCGAATCAACCAAAAACTTCAACATACAAACAAAATTTTAAAATCCAGCACAAATAAATTGAAAACGAAGTTTGTACAAAGAAACATCTACATATAAAAAAGAAAATTACCTTCTCCAAATCCCTATTACGCTGAAAATCAGCCTCGGTGGCTCAGCTACAGAGATTGGCTTGGTGATTCCGTACCTCTTCATTTCTTGTGAGGAAGAACCCGTTGGACTCTGGGAACCCACCATTTCAGTGACCTCTTCACATCAAAACCTCGTAATTTAACTAAAATTGGTCATGCAATTCCGGTAAACATCGAATCAATTAGGCTAAACCTAAAATGAAACTGCACAGGAGTTCATCAAGGTGAATAGATCTAGAATTGTGTATCTCAAAAAAAAGTGAGAGGAATGGTGGAAGAAGAAATCAGTGGGTAAGGGAAGAGATTGGAAAAGGGGTTTTAGATTGGATTAATGATATTAAAATAATAATTTATCGCGATTAACCGGACTAAAGTAAATGACAAAGAACAAGTAGAGGTGTGAACGCGCTAGCTTCTTGGCTGCTCAGATCTTTTCCTTCTCACTTTTTATTGTTTTGGCCAACTGAAGAAATTATCTTCTTTCTTACGGGGAAACGACTAACACATACCAAGGTTTGGCGAAATAACGATTGGTATCTAAAAGGTTTAAAAATAACAAATAAATACCTTTCATTACGTACGGTTAGTGATTTCCGTTTGCTAATAGTAAAAAGACTAGAATGCCCTTAAAAGTTTGATATTTTAGTTTTTAAAAAATTTATAAAAAACCCCTTAAGTTTGCTAATTTAACTAAACACCCTAATATATAAAAATTTTATAAAATAACAAAAATACCCCTACTACCCGTAGTGCCAAATTCCGACCACCACCACTAAAATCCGGCTGAAAAATTGTGTTACACCATAGACTAGTCGGATCTGGCATGTAGGGCGTTGATATGACCTTTTCCAGCCAGATCCACCACGGATATGGCCAGATCTAACCGTCGACAATCGCAACACTCCATCTTTGGCTATCACTTTCCGGCCAAATCGGTGAATTACTGGCCATTTCCGATGGTGGTGTAGATCGTTGTGACAGATTCTAGCTACCACTGGCGGCGGCTGTAGGAATTTGGCAAGTATGGGTGGGTGGGGGTGTTTTTGTTAATTTTTAAACTTTTTTCTAGAGGTATTTGATGAAATTAAAAAACTTAAGGGGTCTAAAAGTAATTAAAAAACAGACTAATATTTCTCAAAGGGCATTCTAGTCTTTTCACTATTAGCAAACGGAAATCACTAACAACACGTGACGGAACACGGAAGGTATCTATTTATTGTTTTTAAACCTTTTGGGTATCAATTGATATTTTGCCAAACCTTGGGTATGTGTAGTCGTTCGCCTATTTCTTACTATTATAATTAAAGGGAATATTTTCATGAAAATATGTTTTTATTAGATACTAATCTGAAATTGAAATTGAATTTATATATATATATATATAACCAAACAACATTATTTGTGATTCCTTACTTGATATAACTTGTACTTTATTTTTAAAAGTTATAATACGTTTAATATGATTTATGATTTTTTTATCTAACTTTCTTACACAACCTCGGTAATCGAGTAGTCTTATTGAATTAAAAAATAAATAAATAATAAACAATTAAAGTCATATATTATAATAGTTAGACTATTATAACACTAATCTTTTATATAGATTTCTGACACAAAATTTTAGTTCTTGATTTAATATAATGAAATGGATTTAATGAGAAATTAAAATTAGTTGCATTTAATATCAAACTTATCAAGTTTTTAATTAGTAAAGAATCATAGATAACATCAGTAATTTGTGTTATAATAGCTCGATTTATAAAATAATATATTCGTTAAATCACAAAAATGACAAAGATATAACTAAAATAATTATACTATAAATACAATTAAACATTTTTATAGTCATAATAGTGGGATCAAATAAATTTATTACAATAAAGAGGTTACAACTTAATAGAGGTGTAGTTATAAAAATTACTATTTTGATTTCTATTTTATAATTCACGTTTTAATAGTATATGTTGGGATTTCAATTATTTGTTTTAATAGTCATTACTGTAATTAGACAAAAAGTGAAAGGAAATAATCTTAAAGATGATAGTACGAAAATACAAAAAGTTTATGTCAAAAAGCTTCAAACATGCTTAAAAAACTATAAATATAAGGTGTACATGCTAGCGAGTTATTACGTACTCACAAGTTAAAAGATATGGTAACAATTCTAAAGAATAAATCATTATTTTAAACAACTTTAGATAAATATTTTATTTCATCTTAAATATTTAATGTAACATATAATATATTTTTTTAATATATATGTAATTATTACTATGTACAGACAACTTTCTTAAGACGAGAATTATAAAAATTAAAACATATTACAATGTGGAGTTTATTCTTATTTATAACTATCTCAAGTTGGGACAAATTTTTGTATGACTATATAAAGGTTATTCTTATATAAAATATCACTATAAATAGGTTTTAATGTATAAGAGTACTTTATATAACAGTAATAATTAAACAACAGTTAGTTTTATTAAATTTAATTTAAAATGCTACATCTACAACTTCTTCTCACAACTCTGATGTGACAATTCGTAATGAGTCTTACATGATAAATTACGGTTGATCAATTACGAATTGATATATCATATTAAAAAAGAAAGTGCACGAGAAGAAGTTGTTGGTGTAGCATTATTTTTCATGAAGCCACCAGCCACCAGGAGAAGGACAGTTGGAGTCCGAGAATATGATATGGAATATTACGAATACAAAGTATAAACAATAAAATAAATTATTATAAAAGTTTTTCTTGGACAGCCTGTCAACTTAACATTTTGAAATCAATTTACATACATTTTAATTTAATGTATTATAATTACAATCAAACATGAGATTATTTGAATAAAGAAATTATATTTATTATAATTGGATATTAGGATTTAGGACTGACTTAACTGAAATTAAGAGGCTTCAGGCTAAAGCTGTCTAACTGTCTTTCCCTTGTTGAATCTCACTAATCACAGTCACAAGACAAACGGCAAAGACCGTTGTTAATTCAACCAACACACCCACAACATATCTTGTTTTACCAAAACATAAATGCTCCCTCGCTTCTCTCCTCTCCTCCGCTCTCTCCCTTCCTCCACCAATCCTATGGCGCGTATCCTTGCACCCTCCGCAATTACCATCGCTTTCTTTCACTCTTCTTCCACCATTTCTCTCCTTCCTTACCCTGCCAAGCGTTTTCACATCTCATCTTTCTCCAAATCCTCCATTTTTAGACGGCAGTTTCACGCGCTTTGTGCCGGGAAAGATGGGAAGCTATTAAAACCATCAATTAGCGTCTTCGCTGAGAAGAGAGAGTACCGGAGAGTGAAGAGACGCGCCACCAAGAGTAAGGAAAAAGAGTTGGAGCTCAGTGTTTGCATTTGCATTGAAGAGGAGCTGCCTGATGATCCTGAAATCTCGGTATTTATTTGTTTATGTTTATCTGTATTATTGTAATGCTTTTCTACAAACATTTGGCGCGCAAAATGTTTAATTTAATTAGTGATTTGAATCTGCTACAGAATATAGCAGAAATGCTTCGACTGAATGCGCCGATGTTGATGAAGTCAGCCTTTGATGGTTTGAAGGATTCACAGTATAAAACAAGAGACACTTCTATAGAAGACTTAGGCGGTTTCGAAAGTATTGAGTTGTCTATACTCCTTTGCAATGATGATTTTATTCGTAAGCTTAACAAAGAATGGAGGGATGAGGACCATGCTACTGATGTCCTCTCCATGTCACAACATGTCCCTGAACTCAAACTTCCAGTTGTAAGTTTTCAATCTATTCATCAAAAATTTTGAGTGACAACTCTCTGACCTGATTTACTTTTCTTTCCTTGTAGCTCATGTTAGGTGACATTGTAATTTCAGTTGAAACGGCTGCAAGACAAGCGGAGGAAAGAGGGCATTCACTTCTTGATGAAATACGCATCCTAATGGTTGGTTTGACAGTTTTTGTATTCAGTGGCTTCTACATTTCCAGTTTGTTGCTTTAGTCACTTGTCTCTGTATACATGTGTTTGATAGCTCATGGGCAGTTGATTAAGGAATCTTATCTCTTGGTCTGAGATCTCCCAAAGCTGTGAAGAGTCAAATGGAATTAAGTAAACGGACGTATTCAAGTAGATTTATATTGTTTTTGCTTTTCAAGAATATTGCTTGTGTTAGGAAGGCAATGTATAAAGTGGGTTTCTTAATTGCTTTACTATTTGCAGGTTCATGGGCTGTTACATCTTTTGGGTTTTGATCATGAGATTAGTGAGGAGGCTGAAGCAGAAATGGAGAAGGAGGAGGAATTTCTTTTGAAGAGTCTTGGGTGGAAGGGAAAAGGATTAATACAGAGTGCATATGATTCTGAAACTAATGTAAATCTTCATATTGAGCATTCGGATGGTAATTATATCCTATAGACCTTCTTCTCATTTGATGCATACTATCTTTACTCATTTTGAACGTGTAGTAGCCATATATAAATTGGCAGTGAGCTAATCTGACAGATAAAAGTGTTAATAGACAGGAGGAAAGAAAGAAGTCTCCGATTCTATAAACCAAAGTTCAGTTATATCTTCTGTGATATGGATGGTAGGATTGCACCTACAATGTCTTTGAATCTTTCTTCATTTTTTCGTAAAATTTTTGATCATTTATTATTTATTCAAATGCAAGGTACACTTTTGAACAGTAAAAGTCAAATTTCATTGACAAATGCTAAAGCATTGAAGGAGGCATTGTCAAGGGGTTTAAAAGTGGTGATAGCCACCGGAAAAGTAAGAGCAGATGAAAATTTATTTGCTTATTTCTTGTAGGGACCATAAAGACATTGTTTTAGAAGTATATCTTTATGCTAAGAAATTTATTTGCATGTTGTTTCTAAAACAGGCTCGTCCAGCTGTGATAAATGCTTTGAAGAAGGTTGATTTAGCTGGCAGAGATGGCGTTATTTCGGAGTTCTCTCCGGGGGTTTTCTTACAGGTTTTTCTTTCTGGCATTGTTGAGTTTATCAGCTTGTTGCTTCTCTTTAAGTGAGCACCGGATATTTTCCATATTCTTGAAGTTGTAAATTTTGGACAAAAAGATTTTTTTTGGGACCTACTCTGACTTCTAATTAGTGGACTATTACTGGCCGTGTATATGTGTTTTGCAATTTGAGATCTATACAATATAACATACAACATCACCATATTTTTTGTCTTATTGGTTCCATCTACTTGATTTCAGGGATTGCTTGTTTATGGTAGACAGGGTCGGGAAATTTTCAGAAGAAATTTAGATCCAGATGTCTGCAGAGAGGTAATATGGTTGTACTTGGATGTTAGGTATCTCTCATTTGGATTAAGTTTCGACTATTTTATATGTTGTACAATATATATGATAAAAAGATTTTTTTTTTCTGAAAAATAAAAAAGGAAAGAAAGAAAGAAAAGTTCAAGTACTTGTGTATGTCTTCTATGGATCAAGGTTTTTCCTTTTTGTCCTACTGACAGGATTTCTTCCTGTAGTATGGTAGCAATCAAGGGGCAGTGGCTACTTTTATGTCAGTTATGCCAAACTATATTGGTATTGGCATCTGGAGCCCTTACGTGATTGGTTCAGTGTGTTAAACAGGAACGAACTTTGTTTCTTTGAGCCACAAGTTTCTGTGTTTATCTCAACCATAAATGACTTCTAGATGGGACTGCTTTTGGGTTTTAGCTCAAGTAGCAGAAGAGTGAGGTGAATTCCCGAGTTATGGTAGATCTTTTCTTTCAGAGGGAAAAGAGTAACTAGATTGTACTGTCTTCTAAACCACAATTGCATTCCTTCCTCTGTATATTTAATCAACATATGTCCTCTTTCCAAGGAAGATATATAAGGCATACCTCTGTAATTCATTTATGGGGATATGTTTTCTACCAGTCCTTTAAAGATGTATCATTAACCTGTATGAGTATCTTCTGTCTAGCATTGGCATTGTGTTTCACAGACAAAATGGTAGATTGTTCTTAACTATCAAGGCATCAGATCGGATCCTTTTGCTTAAACTGAAAGAACCCCTTTCCATGTTGTGATTTGTGAGCCCTTAACTTAAAATGCAGGCATGTCAATACTCTTGGGAGCATAAGATTCCTGTTATTGCATTCAGTGAGGGCCGTTGCTTAACACTATTTGATCATCCACTCGTTGACGCACTGCATACCATATATCATGAGGCTAAGGTACCTAATATATTGTTCATCTTTCACCCACATGATAATTGATCGTCTTTCACCCACATGATAATTCTTTCTTCTTTTATAGTAACTTTTTACATGAAAAATGTTTACAGGCAGAGGTCATGCCTTCCATTGAGCATCTCTTGGCTGCTGCTGATATACAGGTACTCACTCTGAGAAAACAAATAGAAAAGTTTTAACTGCAAGGATAAAATCATATTATTTTGATTTAACCACGCCATAAAGGAAAAAGAAGTATACTGATCACATTTAAGTGTTTGGAAAATAGCTCTGACCTCTATGTTGCAGGTTTTTTTCGACTCTCAGTGAGGGTTTATAATGATTTCAATCTTACAATTTAAGTGTAATCTTTGGAAAATTGCTCCATAAGTTACTAACTTTTTACTCATCACAACTGCAAGTCTCCTGCATTTCCTTATTTTATTTGTAATTAGAACATATATTGGTATGTATTTTGTTATTCTAATGTGTGCTTGCAGGATACATCTCGCTCTATATATATCAACCTAATGTGTTATCTTTCCTTCTGATAGTGGCTTTCATCAAGGCATTTCTTTTTGAATTTGCAGAAGGTCATCCTTTTAGACACTGCTGAGGGAGTATCTACTACCATAAGGCCGTACTGGTCAGAAGCAACAAGGGGGCGTGCCAATGTTGTTCAAGCTGTTCCAGACATGCTTGAAATTGTCCCCGCTGGGACCTCAAAGGGAAGTGGGGTAAGGATGCTGCTTGATCATTTGGGCATCTCTGCAAAGGAGGTATGGGCTAATACAATCTGCTGTCATATCTCCATGTTTTATTCTTGTGTTTCTGCTTTCTGTTTGATTCAAAATGAACAACAATTCCACCAGGATGCTGTTTTAGAGTAGTGCCCTTAAATTGGTTAGTTTCTGCATTTGTTTAATATAGCTTTACCTGAAATTGAGTTAATTAATCCTGCTCTGACACTGCTAGATGATATTATCACCTAATTCTCCGACTAGGAAAAATATTATCTTCACTTGATTTTATGTATTAAAATCTAAAAGTTGTTATTGGTATAACCAATTGATAAAGAGTCATCCATCATACATAAATTAACTAATATTCTGTTTTGTTTCTTGAATATAGAACATATTGAATTTATGATTTTGATTAGTTGGCCCAACTGTGACTGAAATATAAAAACCATCTCTGTTTGATTATTTGAATTGATTCTGACCATCTATTTTTCAGATAATGGCAATTGGTGATGGTGAGAATGATACTGAGATGCTTGAATTGGCTTCACTGGGTGTTGCTCTCAGTAATGGATCTGAGAAGACCAAAGCAGTTGCTAATGTGATTGGTGTTAGCAACGATGAAGATGGTGTAGCCGATGCCATTTATCGGTACGCCTTCTGAGGTTGGAGAAGGACCTATTTATACAATGCGTAATGCAACCCACAAAATCTGACTCAGTCATGCTATCAATGATTAGATGACCAAGTTATTAGATTTTATAGGTTCATTTGTGGTTCTAATTTTCAGAATGACACTACATATTCCAAATGCCGATTATTATTTTTTTTTTTTTCCAAACGGAAGAAAAATTACAGAAGATTATTCTTTTGGCAAAAATACAATACCTCATTAGTGTGATATGTATACTCCATAGCTTCATTGAATCAGGCCAGAAATTTCGACCATTTGATGTTAACAATATTTTTGTACAACATCTCAACTTTGTTATGTAAGTAATCAGCTATTTAGGTTACTTCAAACTTATAAATTTAAATCACTTCCTCTCGAGGTACAAGGATCTCTGTATAGCATAATTATTTAATATCCACTGGTGAAAAGTTTAACCATAGATAAGGTTTTGATCAAGATCTGAACGGAGGAAATTGACAAAGCGAATTACCGGACAAGTAAAGAAGTATGACCTTGTATTTTATACTCAATTGAATAGTAATATATGAATTTTAAGTTGAAATTATAAAAGTCTGTGAGGAAAAATATTTTTTCCTTAAATTATAAAAGTTTAAGCATACTCAGAAAATAGATGTTCAGTATTCTCAATCAACCTTAATCCTATCATGAAATTATGTATAGGACCACCGTCACTTGAGTTTTCGCATGGAACTCAACCGAAATACTTAATGATAGAATAAACATCCAACTTCCCATCTTGTTTATCGAAGAGAAAGATTGTCTTTATAAATACAACTATTACCATTTACAGAAACGCATCAAGCTGCTGTTGCCGAGACTTGGTGGTGACCTGTGTATCAAGCTGATCTCTCATAATGGGAATTCTTTCTTGCACACTCCAATATAGTTTTATCAGCAGTTATAAAGTAAGCAGCAATCGACGCTGTTAAAAAATAAATGAACGTTAACATTAATCCTCCGGCCTTGAAACGTCATCCTACGGCTCTACTTTCACCACAAGAAAAAAATTATAAACAAGAATTAATTCTTAATTATAATGGTCAATGAGTTTATAAACAAAAGTCTCTATCATCAGTAAACAATGATAAACTATTGATTTTCCACAGATCAGCATAATATTATTTTTAATAAAAAAATCCTTTAAGAGTCTGATTAGTGATTATACTCCATTAAAGCTAATAATTTGCTTAACAAATCCAATTGATATTGCATGATTCTCTAATTTTTATGTGGTGGTGAAATTATTCAGATTTTATGTTGCAAAACACAAAAATAATCTACCAAATCTAAGAAGCTGAAAGAATTATCCATATCCTGATTGTACCTGCAGATATAATCAGTGCCTGACCAGTATAGTTAATGTTTGCCTTTGCCCAAGGGACTTTTCGAACTGCAATCAACTGACAACACAAGAAGCAAATCAAATGCCAATCATAAAAGCCACGATCTGCATAGCGCAGAGATGCCCCAACAAAATGTCACAATTCAGACCCAATATATATATATATATATACAACAAAATGTCAAAATTCAGACCCTATATATATATATATACACACAACTGATAGCCTCTGTTACAAGGGCAAAGCTCTTCATAAAAGAACTCAATCTCAATAAATAATTCCACACTTCATGGCTAAAGGCTGAAATTAGGAGCATTAACCAAAAGGCAAGTCAGAAATCACCATGCTCCATCGAAAGAGTCAAAAAACATCAAACATTATAGTAGTTTCTGTAAAGTGGATCTTAGAAAGTTTGAAATCACACAATTAAAGATCAGATGCACCTCTTCTCCGAACACAGACCACTACATCACCAATTGTAGAAAGAAATAAGCAGTTACCAAGCTTGGCAATAAGAGAACTATCATCAACTTTCCCTTTTGGAAGGTCTCAAATAGGTTGTGTTACATCAAAGATCAATAGGTTAGCGTATCAATGATTGAGCTCATATGCAATAATGGAAGTAGCACTCCACATCTGGTTACTTCACAAAACACGTTCAGACCTCAACTAATCCCAAACCAAGTCTAAAATATGGGTTGTGTTACATAAAAGATCATTAAATTAGTGTATTAATGATTAAGCTCGTATGCAGTGATGAAAGTAGCACTCAACATCTGGTTAATTCATGTGACACGTTCAGACCCAGAACTCATCCCAAATCAGTCTAAAATATGGGTTAGTAATCCAGTGAAAACCTTTTCTCTGTCACATTGCTAGACCTGTGTAACAATTACATGATATTTCCTTTTCCATTCCAAGACAAAATCCTCATCAACAAAGACAATAAAAAAAAAATACCTGGATTCTTGTATTATAAACCATAATGAACATGGACATACCATTCCAAAATAAAATTTTCTAGTTTGAGCTTGAGGAATCAAGATAAAAGGATAGAATATATATATATATAATCACTGGCTAAGCAACAAATACAACAATAGATTAAAGAATGAAAAGTAAATGAAAGCAAATTAAAAAAAAAAAATGAAATTTAAAAGAGCAGTTAAGAAAAGTAAAAGTGAGGATCACCGTAGGAATAGCACTGGCAATACAAGCAACGGCAGCAGCCTTGGCTCCAGCACGAACACCTTCTGCAGTAGTAAATTTATCATTTAAACATCAGTAAAATACATATAATTGGAGATTGATAAACAAATAAATTTAATAAATGAAAACCTTGAGTGCACTGGCGGGAAGACATAATCCTCCGATCCTCGGCTGTAGAAGCAATCGCGAAGATGTTTTTGCTTTCTCTTGTTTTCGCTTTCGTAGGAATTTCCATTTTCTTCTCTTCTCTAAACCAACAAATCAATGGTATTTGACAACTGAAAGAGGCGGCCTTCGATCTGATTTGTTCTTCTTAATTTATATTTATATTTATTTATTTTTAAATAAAAAAAGCAGGGGCCCTTGTCAAATAAAACACCAATCTTGTGCGCCGGCGCCGGTCTCTCTATGCTTTACATGTAATAAGCAATAACCCATCTCCGTATTTTTCCGCTACTTGCTACAAAGAATAATAATACTTCACTGACAACCCCCTCTCGAACAAACTTTCTCTCATAATCTTAATACAGCAGCTCATAATTAGTTAGTTCAGGTCTTACATGGGTCTCGCATAAGTCCTACTAATAATTACGAACTACCTCATCATAGTTATGAGAGAAAGTTAATGAGAAATGATTGTTAATGTAGTATTACTCTTCAACAAATCGAAATCTTCCTATATATACAGTTCCTTTAAAACATTCTATTAGATTTATGATAATCCCTTTGCATAAACATTATATACTGAAAATCAACATCAAAATATAATATAAAAAGTAATACTATAGTACTATACTTATAAATCTTTTCACCGAGCGATAAATAAAAGGTGATGTTTCATTATCTTTTAAATTACATAATAATTATTTATTTTATTTTATATGTTCACTCTACCATTTGTATTTTATCATATTACCACATCAAAGGTATAATATAACGTTGTTTATTTATTTTATAATCGAGATGTTAAAGTGTTCAAGTCAATTCACCCATATCTCAACTAATCTTTAGAATCTATTAAACATCCTACAAACCTTTAATTTATTCCCACATTATTTGAGGGGTTTAGTTTATATATATAGTATTTGGTAACATGAATTTTCATATGAAGAAGAAAAATGTGAAAAAAAAAAAAAAAGAACAACAAAACAAAGAACTTAATATTTACATGATCTTAATCAAACAAATAGAGTCAAAGTTTATTGAACTAACTTTTTTATATGTTATATAATAATTTTAATAAAGAATAAGATTCTTATTAAAAAATTAATAATAAGTAGAAAGCATAAATTGACATAGTTTTTTTTTGTTTTAAAGATAAGGTTTAAAATAAAAACCCCTTAATGAGAATAGTGAAAAAAACTTAATGGGAATAGTAAAAAATACTTAAAACGTTTTGAGTAATGCACCTCAAAAATACACCTAAGAATCCTGATTAAAACCACCCAAATTTAACGAATAGTTTTTCCTTATAATCCGAAGACTGAATAGTGTGATAAACAAATTAGGCATGATCAAAACCTATCCGGGACTGCAACTTCCACAAGGTGGTAGATCAGGAGTTGGCTCCTAAACAGACATGCAACGAGAAACAACAAACATATTAGTCTAACAAAAACACTTTCACTCACATCACAAAAACCTCACAACTCCCTTACAGATAATATTCTTGATTTCATTATAAATCAACACAATTCATTCAAATGTCTTTGAGCAACCATGTCTCTCAAATCCCCAAGCACCATAACACTTTTAACTCTCAACACTTAATTCTCCATTATCAATAAAATCCTTAAGCACTTAGAGACCTTGGTCAATTAGATAATCACCCAGCCTTTCAACAATCATGTTGCACTGACCAGGAGTCATAGGCTCATCATATATACCAATTACCAAGGCCTGATTGGTCTTCTTGACGGTAACACCACCAGAACCCTGAAATACATGTAACAAAACTCTCGATCAATATAATAACGAGCAACACAAAAATAAAGAGGCATTACAACTGGATAAGTTTCATTATGTAACATAATAATCAGTACCGTCACTGAATCTCCACAAAAGTAGCAAGAAAAACAAACGTGTTAACTCACAAAGAAGTTTTACTAATTAAGTTGTTTTCTACTCGCAAAGAAACCAGCGTAACATACAAATATGAACTCCGAATTTACAAGCAACAGGTATTATTGTTCCCTGCAATTGATATTTGGCACCCTCCTCATACTGAATCAAAAGTCAAACTCCTATCACCAATTTCTTAATTCAAACTTAGCATACTGACCACTTCCAACTTCACCAGCAGTTCTCACATAGAGTGACAGGAATATTGGAGATCTAACAGTTACAAGATTAAAAAACCAGCCAATTTTTTTCTGTAGACAAAGCTATTACATTATCTAATATAATGACTCAAAATCAGCATGAAGCAGGTTCAAGAATGTTAACTAAACCATTACAAATCAGCTCTGATTCTGAATGACATGGAATGCGGTAATTCTTTATGAGATAAAAAGGTCTGAACTACAGCTTTAGGTTAGACCTATGAAGAATATTTAAAAATAATAATAATAATAATGACATATACGACTGGTTTAATGATATGACATTGAATGTGCATTCAGTGGTATTGTTATGATGTATAAAAGAATACAAAGCCAAATTATCACCTTCTTTCCTCGTATGACGGCTCCAGGTTCACCTTGGATCACCATATATTTCACACCACCAAGGAATAAGCCGGTTGGCGCAAGAGTCCCAGGTTCAGCAAAGTCATTCATAATGCCTGTTATTTCCTCAGGCTTAAACTGCAACACCAAAAACACTTTTCAGGCAAAAATAAAAATAAAGACTAAACAACTAAGCAGCACAATAAAAATTAAGTCCATATCCACCAGCAGAAATCTGAACATGAATTCTCCACATAGCCACATCGGCAGAATAGCACACAGCAAAAGATAACACTAGCATTCCTTAACTCTAAAATGTAACAGCTCAACAAGGGAGTACACATGGGGCACCAGGCCAAAATTCAAAGACACACACATAAATGTTGCCTGAATTCACAATGTTATTACTTCTTTACCTGTACTTTTAAACCGGAAAAGACATAAATATTATAGTACACTGGAGGAGATTAGCAAGAAGTGAAGTACTGAAGAAGATTTAGGGTTACACGTATAAAAACCAGTAAGTGGTCAACATCAGTTATACACCATTTTTCTTCATCAAACAGAGAAGCTGAGCCTAAAAGAAAATATGATAGACACATTAGTATCATAAATCAGCATAAGGTTGACTGGGTTTGGTGTTGAACATATTAAGATCGTTACAAATGAAGTCCTGCAATAAAAACAAACTAATCCAGCTGATACGACGGCCGCATGAGTATAATAATAAGATGGGTTAGCAAAATATAATGTAGATATACGGCCACCCAAAATATAATTCGACAAATTAGTTCATATTAATCAACGGCTAAAAGGAGACATTGCATAAAAGCAACAAAAATTAATCAAGAACCTTGATGACAAATATTTTGCTAGTCTACTACAAAATGTCAAAACAAAACAAAACAAAATTAAGTGGATCATCCCAGTAAAAGGATTAAAAAAATCCTAGAACATAAAACCTCTGCATGTATTACATCAAAATCAATTAAACTCATCATTTATTACAAGATAAATAGTCAAATACAAGAAAGCAAATCCACAACGTCATCGATTTTAACGAAAGAGCAAAAGCTTAAGTTAAGATCTGCGCGAAATAGAAGAAGGAACCTGAGGGAAATTAGCGCTCTGGGCCCAAACGGTGCCATCATGGCCGATGATAGCTGCAGCAGTGAGGTGCAGACCATCCATCTCGCACATCAAGTGATCATCAACGTACGTTTGCCACGACATCTTTCTGGCTTTTTTTAATTTTTCCTTCGGTTTTTTGTTTGTTTGAGATTGAGAGGTGTAAAGGGTGGACACTGGTATTGTTCAACTTTCAAATGTGAAGCCAGAGGAAGAAGACTAAAGATATAGACCGAGAGGAGAAGGTAGGTAGCGTGAAATCAAAGCTGGTAAAACGACAACTTTTCTCCACCGTGGACTATTTTCTTTACCCTCTGGGACCCTATTTTATTTCTCTTTTTCTTTTTTGGTTTTTCTTTCTTCTTTTAAAGTTTCGATTTTGAGATTTCATTCTCCTAAAATTCAAAATATGGATCATATTACATAAAAGATTATATAAAGTTTTATTTTATTTTCTTATAAATAGCTTTGAATTGAACCGTACGTTTCATTTAAAAGATATTAAAATCACTTATAATTCTCAAAAATCTTTTTTAAAAATATTAAAAACTCTCTTAAATATCAAATAATTTCTTATAAAATTATTTTTTTGTTTCATTTAAAAATAATGAAAACCGACTATTATATTTAAAAACTCTTTTAGAAAATATTTTTTAAACAAAATGAATAAACTAATACCAAAGAATCTCACAAAAGAAAAATAAAATAAATTATGAATATACTATTATATCTTATGTTTATTTACAAATATAATTAAATTAAAAATTACTGTTAAATTAGATACAAGCGGACTAGCATGTTCTGTCCGTGGAGGATGAAAATGGAAAGGGGTGATGGTTGCGTGATTAGACAACGTGTCAACGACAGATCATCCATCAGTAATGGAGGTCATGGACTCAGTTCCATCACAAACATCATGAAAATTCTAGAAGGTTATCTTTGAAGGGTCAAAACTCTAACGACAAATCAAGATTCCAGAAAATTATTCATCGTGCAGAAAGCGAACTTTGAAAGAAAAGCCACATAACGCAAATGGGTTGGCGCCTTCTTCAACAAGAAGGAAGAGGATTAATATATTTTAAGTCTCACAATGAGTGGAGATCAACTAACTACAAGTCCACACAGGGGTATGAAAACAAAATAATGTAAAGATTGGTCAGAAATTGAGTTCATTAGAATAAGAACACAAGCAAAATATTCCTAACAGCAAATATCACATTCAATGAGAAAGATCATATAACATTATTCAGATTACCGTATTCCTTTTGGTTCTTCAAGCTGCAATTCAGATGACAAATATGCTACAAACAGCCAAAGAATTGTCAAACAAATAAAAAAAAAAAAAAAAAAATCTGTTCAATACTCTTTCTAGTTTCCACTATTGGACTTTTCTTAATTAGCATCACGACTGAAAGCATATCAACGAAGGTTGTTAACAGTAGTATAGATTCTTCAGAAATCAAGATGACCACAAGTTTCTGATGGAAAATGGTCTACCAGAGGATGAATTTAGCCGATAACTCCTCCCTCTAAAAGCCACACCAGTACCACTTGCTGTCTGGACAGGGGTATTTGTTGGATATCCCACTCTCCAAAGGCCAACAAGTTTATGCCTGAGTTGTAAGATGTAAGGAATTTTCATAGCACAAGTTTATAATATGCATATGAACCAAAACGCTGCTGAAACAAGCTTCTTTGCATATGGAAAAAGGGATAATGGGGGGTGGGGGCTTGTATTAAAAATATCAATCTATGATTCAACTCAAGCAAACATGAACAGAACTCAATCCATGATTTAACAAAGAAAAACATGAAGAATGCTATGTACAACACAAAAAAACATGGAGTTCCATGACAGACTAGGCATATGTCTGATTACAATAACAAGGTAACATGATTGATTAATTGTCCGACATCTCGGGCAAAGGTTACCTGAATTTGAATAGCTCACTTGGTGCCCATTCCTTTGAGTCATATGTATTAATAATATATTAAAATTAGATATATGTGAAAAGGGATACGTTGATCCTTATTTATTATTTACCAATAATTTGTGGGGGAGATGTGTGAATCAAAAGATCAAGAAGAATATAAAAGAGGATACACCCATATTGGAGTCTTTAATATATTTCTTCCACCAGCAAGAGGATGTAGCACCGTCAAGAAGTAATATAGATGCCCTGCTATGATTCCAAGAAAGTTTGGTAGTAACGGTGAACCAAATATAACATCAATAGCAAGCATGGCCCATGGAAAATAAAATGCCTGCGTTTCAGAAAATATTAGCTTAGTATTGAATCCCCCCTCCAACCCATGAAAACAGATCTAAATGTTTATCAATGGCATCACACAACAAGATGCAAGATACTGTTATCCCACTGCATGTGCATATGGGACAAGGAGAGTTGAGGAAATGTACCTTGAGCGTGACAAGCCCATATATACTAATTTGGGAATTAGGAAACTCTCTGCTCCATACATATATAAGCATGGACACCAATGAAACCCCCAAAAAAGGAGTCCATAACATCGGAATGGCTGATAACACCTAAACACCAAATGCCACAGTTAGATAGAAGAAACTAATGGCACTAATATTTTGCCAAAAAAGAAAAATGGGTTGACAAAACATAAGGAAATGTGACCATGCATAACATTGTAAATCATTAAAAACTTTGGAACTTGGAAGGTTTTATAAACACCAATTAGCCCATACCAGTAATGTTATGGCACCAAAAATCATCATCCACAGGAAATCTGCTGTCCGCCTCTCAAATGGACCTTTTTCAAGCTGGACACCATATCTGGCTCTATAAAAATAGTAGGTTCCAATATAAGTGAACAGAGGACAAGATTTTTTTCCCTTGGTAAATAACTTTCTACTAGTCTCATGTAATCCTAGACACCTACTCTTCATCATCAAAATGTTCTTACATACAAAGTATTTTTCAGTGATTAGTACTTACATCATTAGAAGACGAATTCCAAAATTGATGGAAAATTTTCCGAGGAAAAAGAAATTCGTAATAAGCCTCCACACCTATGAAACAACAGAGGGTTCAACAAGTATTAGAAGCACAATATTTAAAGTTTTTTTTTTTTTTTTTTTTAACTTTTGTTGATACCTAGAAATCCCCAGTGTTTCTTAAGAATTCAAAGAATTTTTTCTCTTTTGGGACCACAACAGAACCCACCAATCTATGTTCATTGTTGTAAAAATTTATCTTGGCATTAAAATTCACAAGATGCTTATTATATAACACACAGCAATGATGAAACAAATAAAAGTAAAACTTGGCAGAAAAAGGTTCCTTCTAAATGAGTTTCATGATTGGATTTAAACCTGAAACTTGGAGAAAACAGGTCCATAAAACAACGCTATACTCCAGGGACTGTACAATCCCAAATGGAAAGCTGCAGTGGCCACCACACATATGGTCCCAAAAGCTTTGCTGATAGGAGGAAGAGAATTGTAGAATCTGAAACATACCAAACAATCAAGTCACCAAATGCCAGATTATCAACCATCCAAGAAATCAAATTTTTAATAATGCCATCAAAATTCAACTTCGCTGCTGATAAATAAAATACAAATTTAATATCCGTAATGGATAGGGCCATGTTGGCGGAAATTAAAACTTTTAAACTAATATAACATTCAATTTCTCAACAAATCAAAAACTTGCCACTGAGATTACCAAAGACTCGAATCGGCAATTTAGAAATTAAATTCCAATTGATCATAAAAGAAAACAATGATAGAAAGGACAAAAATGATTGTAAAAGAAGAGTGAGGTGGGAGATAGTGAACAGCATTACTCTGCAGGAGACGACATGTTAACGAAGTGAAACCTGATTCATAAAATCTTCAAAGTTGGTTGGTTCTCTGTGTAAGAAGGTGTAACAGATCTTACACGGGATTTTTCAAGCAATGTGAAGGGGAGAAAAAAAAAAAAAAAACAGGAGTACGTAATAGCCTTCAAATTACACCGGCAACAGGAAGAGATCATCTTATTGTGGGCACTGACGTGGCGTACCAGGAGACAACATGACAACAAAGGAGGTCCAATGAGGAGACGCCAAATCATACTGTAACATTTCTTAATTATTAAGAGTCACAAGCTAGTTAAGAATAAAATTAAAAATAAAAAACTTTTCCTAAAGTTAATAAAATTTATTATCATTATATAAATAAATAAATGTTATTAACCTAATGATATACGTTTGAAATTAGAATTCCATAAAAGCCTTAATAATGTAATCTTATAGGAAATACCTTTAGGGGGTTGGGCGGTTCGATAGTGACTCTTAGGTGTTTTATTCAAGAAGTCTTAAATTCAAGTCTTTCTTTGAGTGTTAATAGGGAAGTTATTAGAACTCTTACCTGACTCCGATCGATAGTTTCAAGATTTTCGAAGAATTAGTTGAAATGTACATAAATTGACCGAATATCGCGATCATAAAAAAATATAATAAATAATAATAATAATATGATAGGTTAGTTAGTAATGTGCATTAAACCAAAAATTTAAATTCTTTCTTCTTTCTTTTATTTTTTTGACAAACTTTAAGTGTTATTTTAATTTTTCAGAGCGTAGCAGAAGAACTAGACTAATTTAAGTTTATATACTTGATTTATTTATGAATCGTTTGAATTATGGATAAAAATAATATAAGTGTGAAAAACTATGATTATAATAGTCTTTTAGATGTCACGTTTTCATGTAAAGCTGTATATGTTGATCTTATTGATGCATGAATATTGTAATAATAAATGGTTATTGTAGTGGTATCAATGAAAGTCAATCATCTTCTTCTAGGACATGTTAATAAGGGTTCATATTTGAACAAAATTCAAAATTGATAGATAAAAAACCTATGACTTGTATTAAAAAAAATAAAAAAATAAATAAAAAGGTAAAAGTAAAGGACACTTCATCAAGAGATAGTCTTTGTCAAAATTATCCATGGAGTACAAATTCAAATAAACAAAAAAGCAAAGCAGAGGCATCTACATAACATAATCTTGATTAAATACTTACAAAAGCAAAAGAGTAAACGACTTGTTCCCACGCAACTTTTCGCCAAGTCCTAAGTTCCCACCCTGGTTTCACAAATTCCAGATTCCCACCCTTAAATTAACAGAAAACCGTTTAATTTAACGATATGGCCATTTGCTTTCCACTTTGTTCTTCCTCGCATCTTTTCTTCCTTACCATGCCTAGGAACTCCACTCTCAATGCCGAGAATCCTTCAATTCCTCCCCCAGCACAATCCAACGCAACGTCTTTAAATTTCAAAGAGGGAAATTGTTTCCAAACTCAATTAAACAAAACCACAACTACACAAATTTCACAACAAAACAACCAAAAAAAAACCCAATTCAAAGCCGCTAACTGACACCATAACTACACAAGAAACAAAAGCCATTGACTCTCCCATAAATCATTTCAAAACCCAATTCAACAAACCACAATTATAGATTCAAACACATACCAAACCCAAAAAACCCATTGACTCTCCCATAAATCATTTCAAAACCCAATTCAACAAACCACAACTACAGATTTTAACACATAATCCACATCAATCCCAAATTTCAGGAGGGGAAAAACAACAAAAAATTTGAAAATTCAAAGGAAATGTATGGCAGTGGGTGCGTAGGGCTTAGTTGCAACTACTTCTTTCAATTTTAAAACAACCGTGCATTTGGTTAGCAACTACATTCAGCGACTGAAAGTGGCCCGATCTGGCTTTGTGGAGGGCACTGCAACTGAAGTCTTAGTGGTAGATCAGCGGCGGAAACAGGAGCGCTTTGCTGCTTGTGGTTGGTTGGCGAACAAGGAAGGTGACGATTGCGATTTGGCATCGAAAAAGCAGCAAAAACCATCGACATGACACCGCTAGGATTGATTGCCATCGCCGTCACTTCTTGCTTCGATCTCGAGGTTGGATTTTACCAAGTTTAGCCTGGTCAGCGCTGCCGCCGAAGCGTAGTGGCTTTGGTTGGTTTTCTTAGGGATTTCTAGTTGTTGGTTTGGGTTGTGGAGTTCCATCGTTGGCCGTGTTTTGATGGGCGATTTGGTGATGGGTCATATGCAAGGGTTAAAGAACAATTTATTTATTTATTTATTGAGGGCAATATGGTAATAATTCTTCCATACTTGTGTCATATCAAAAAAAATCTTTAACCATGTTGGTTTTTGGGTGCGAATCTGGAATTTATGAAACTAGGGGTGGTACAGTCGTTTCGTGAAACCTTGGGTGGGTACATGTCGTTTACTCAAAGCAAAATTAATAAAAACCAGTGGGTGAGCTACAGTCACTAGAAATTCTGAAAAACTCGCCACCTGTTTTGCATCCATATTTCGTACGAAACAATCTCAGTCGAACCTAAAACCCCCCCAACGACGCCGCTTTCTCCACACCACCTTACGTGCCTTTTCTCTCCTTACGCCTCCCCAAACACTCGCCATAAAGCGGCGCAAGTGCAAGCCACACGGCCCCGTTTTAATCATCGTGAATTGCGGATATCATTGCAAAAAAATTTAGCAGTAAAAGTGAAGAGCAAACAATGGAGCATTCTGGTAATTTACAGCTCAAGCTGGTTGATGGTGACGCTGGTTATGTCCTCGAAGATGTTCCTCACCTCACTGATTACATTCCTGATCTCCCTGTATGAATTTTGAACGATTGATTTGATCACTTTCTTCAACTTCGACTGAGTTTATTTTTATTTTTGCAAAAAACTATATTAGTTGTTAAAGATGTTGTTTTGTACGGCAGACTTATCCCAACCCGTTGCGGTCAAATCCAGCTTACTCCGTAGTTAAGTAAGTAAAAACTCCTTATTACTTCAACTTAAAGACCAGACAGATCCATTGCCACCTTCTTTAGTTATGATATGATGATTCTTGTTGATATGAGTATTTTGTGATTACAGGCAGTATTTTGTTGATGTGGATCATACAGTTGCTCAAAAGGTGATTTATGCTTCGACTTCCAAATTTTTTTGGTTTGTTTTCCTCTCCCCGCCATTTGTCAACTGGAAGATCTGTTTCTGTAAATGCTTTCATTTGCCTCTTCTTATTCGTGGCATCCCATCCAAATAATTGTCGTGATGACTACAACTTTTTAAAAACTCGGCGGCAATATTTCTATGGCCTGGTTTTTTCGCCCTTGTTTTCGGAATTGAAAGTTGGAAACAGAGTCAGAAAGTTTGTTTCACTTGTTAACTTATATGTAATCATTTCATGGAGAACTATCTGCCGTGTCAGGGAAGGTGGCTTGGATACAAGAGCTAACTGATTACTTTTTCTCCGTCTTCTTCTTTGTTTAGATTGTTGTTCACAAAGATGATCCAAGAGGGACACATTTCCGGCGTGCCGGACCTCGCCAGAAGGTGATTATTATTTTTCCTGTTTAATTACTCATAAACCATATGCATTTTACTAAGTTCACTACATTATGCTGTTCAGGTGTATTTTGAATCAGATGAAGTACAAGCCTGTATTGTAACATGTGGTGGCCTTTGCCCCGGGCTCAACACTGTGATCAGGGAAATTGTCTGTGGCCTTTATCACATGTACGGTGTCAACAAAATCCTCGGAATAGATGTAAGTGGCCACATTATTTTTGCTCAACGTCATTGAATATTTTTATTATAGTATCAGAAAAAGGATCTATGTATATGTTATCTATGTATGTGTATATATATGGCACAGCTCCACACACGCCATTTGCTCCAGTTTCTTATGTTTTCAATATATTTATCACACGACCTTCAAAATATTGTTGCACAAGAAAGGAGGCCATGGTTACACATTAGTTGGTCAGATTATATGTAGCTATTTGAATTTAATTTTGAGGGGATGCTGCTGATGAAATTATCTCAATTATTATCAACAAGTAAAAGAGCTGTTGTGTCGGGCGTTGAAGTGGTTGCCATGTGTGAGCATTGTGCAGAAGTTAGTTAATTTGGTTTTGTGATAAAAATGTTAATATTTCGTATAAAAATCTTGAACATAATTGTTTCGTGTTGACCCCCCTGAGGATTTTGTTTGATTCATCCGTAGGGAGGATATAGGGGTTTCTACTGCAAAAATACCATCGATTTAACGCCTAAAGTTGTTAATGACATCCATAAGCGTGGTGGTACCATCATTAAGACATCACGAGGAGGCCATGATACCTCAAAGATAGTTGACAGCATTCAGGATCGTGGAATTAATCAGGTATGTGAAGGCTAGAATTTTGTCAACGGTCATTTCCTCAAATTTTTGGATGAATCATTTGTGTAAATGGTGAAATTTCTTGCTGGATAGGCACATAAATCCCCTTATAGATTCTCATTATGACTTTTAATGGTCCAGGTGTACATAATTGGAGGAGATGGAACTCAAAAGGGAGCAGCAGTCATTTACGAGGTACTATTATTTGAAAGGTTGAAGAAAGTCTATTGGCTGTCATATATTGCTTACAGATTGATAGCTTCACATGTGTCTCCCATTAGATGCATGCATGATGGCTACTTAGAAATGTTACTATTATTATGTCAATCACATTTTACTGTTAAGATCACACAGCTGCAGAAAAATTGCTCAACTGTAACGACTTCTAATGAGCATGAAAATCTGTTCTGGACTTGATTGTTTATAAACCGTCTTTTCTGTTTAACAGTGCGTATTCTGAATCATCACTAGTTGAAGATATCAGTAATTACATGTGTTTTTTTTGGGATTTTTCACTTCCGACTACCTTATTTGTTATTTACTGTTACAGTCCTTTACAGATTTTCTTCATTAGCCCACCATTATGTGGTTTATATGCCCTTACCTATGCTTATTTCTGATAATCTATGTCAAGCTAGAAGGTCACTACAGATGTTAGATTAATCTGCTGAATCTGGCGAACATATGTGATGCCTTAAATTTTCATAAAAATACTCCTAGGCTGCATGAACATATACTCAAGTGTCCCTCAGACTAATTCTAGATTAACATACATGTCTTTGTTATCATTGCTTGATTGATTGCTTTAATTTTGAACACCAATCCATATAATTAATCGTTGTTTCTGTGTTTGCCACTGTAATATAATGCAGTTCTCATTTTGCAGGAAATTAGGCGCCGTGGCCTCAAAGTTGCAGTTGCTGGAATCCCAAAAACTATTGACAACGATATTCCAGTACTTATTTCCACCCATTTTTTACAGATCATAATTTAGTTTTATTGTTTCTCTTTTCATTTCTTTCTTGAAATATTGTGTTTTCTAACTTTACATAGCTTAATATTGGATTGTCATAATCGTGATTCAGGTTATTGATAAATCCTTTGGTTTTGATACTGCTGTTGAGGAGGCCCAACGTGCCATTGATGCAGCACATGTTGAAGCTGGAAGTATAGAGAATGGCATTGGAGTTGTGAAGCTCATGGGACGCTATAGTGGTAAGTTTTGCATCTATCTTGATGGTTTCATATGCTAAAACTCAATACATCAATGAAGCTCGAATGATCTACTTACTCAATTTTCACATGCTTGTACTTATCATGTTTTCATTTTTAAGCCTTTTTTATTTTTCACCATATGATGTAAAATCACTGGAGCAGGTTTCATTGCGATGTATGCTACACTTGGCAGCCGAGATGTAGACTGTTGTTTGATTCCAGAGTCACCCTTCTATCTTGAGGGACGTGGAGGACTTTATGAATATATTGAAAAACGACTCAAAGAAAATGGGCATATGGTTATTGTTATAGCAGAAGGAGCAGGACAGGATCTTCTTTCAGAGAGCTTGCAGTCCATGAACCATCAAGATGCTTCAGGAAACAAGCTTCTTCAAGATGTTGGGCTATGGATATCTCAGAAGATCAAGGTACCTCTTGCAATCTATTAGAATCGTTTTGTAAATTCTCAAATTATCAGCACCATATGTAACAGTAACGTAATTTATGGGCTATATAAGGAATTCTGTGTCTTTATAAATTTAACACTTTGCTGTTGCTTCAGCTTCTTTAATCGTAGCACCATTTTGCCAGCCAACACAAGATGGCCATTAATTTGAAATATATAGGTCAGTACCTGAGACTTGCCTTCTTTGTTGACTATACTCTCTTAAATTTGACCAAGATGGATGTGCCAATGACTCTGCTCTAACCAAATTGGTTTGCAGATCCTACATACATGATCCGGGCTATTCCAAGCAATGCATCCGACAATGTCTACTGCACTCTCCTCGCACATAGTGCAGTACATGGAGCAATGGCAGGGTATACAGGCTTCACAGTTGGTCTTGTCAATGGCAGACATGCTTACATTCCTTTCAACGTAAGTTCTTTTATGCAATTCAGCATTTGTCACTAGCCAGACCTAATCCTTTTCAGAGGAAACTGTTTTTCATATCGAAGCTTATTAATGTTATCTTTGGTTTGGATATCGGAATGCAGCGAATCACAGAGAAGCAAAAAAATGTTGTTATTACTGACAGGATGTGGGCAAGACTGCTTTCTTCTACCAACCAGCCAAGCTTCTTGAGCCACAAAGAACTCGCTGAATTCAAGAAAGAGAAACAACATCAACACCAGTTGTTGGATGACGAAAATTGCAAAGATAACAAATCTGAGCCAAAGACATAGGTACATGACATTTGAGCTGTATAAATTACTGTTCTGCTCGTTGCATTCTATAAGCGTTAGTTGCCACTTGTAGCTGAAGCCTTGTGATGGTGGATCTATGGTTGATAGAAATGTGTATCTGACTATTGTTAGTAATATTGAGAGGTAGATGTGCTTTTTGTATGAGGAGTTCATCCTTTATACCAGTTTTGTTGAGTTATTCTACCGAGTTATTATTAAATATCTTCAAATTCATCTGTTGCCTATTGGTATGACTTTGTTCTCTTCTCACAACTCAGTGTGGAGAGCAAGTATTTTTCTAAAAGTTGATTTCTGTGTCATGAAGTTAAGAGTTCTGAAAGAGGGTCTTTACCTATCAAGTATATTGGTGGATTTGATGGTAACGGAAAGCTGGGAATTCTTTCGGTGCTCGAGCCTTGAATTCCTTTTTGTAATAAAATGATCCAACTTTCATTCTCAAAATAAGAAAGTAACATGCTTTTTGAAAATCATAAAAATTAACCCAAAAGAATTAACCCCCGAATATGTATTGTAATTTGTCAGTTTTTTATTAAAGTTTTGGTGTTTAATTTAACCAATCAAAGATATGTTCGGAATAGTGACAGATAAATTATTGTTTCAATTACTTCATAGTGGAAATTGCAATTAACCAATGTTTTAATAACCAACCTGAGTTGAAACCCGACAAAGTTGTCGGGTCAGTCAAATTGGGTGTCCAAAAGTTTAAAATTCACAAATACACCCCAAAAAATTATAGTTAAGTTCCCACAGGTAGGGGTGTCAGTCGAATAAAGAGCCGCTCACGAGTAGGCTTGACTCATTAAATACTCGAACTCAGCTATAGTTTAATCAAGCCAAGCTAGCTCGAGTAAGATTCGAATCAGGTACCGAGCTGAGTTCTAGTCTACCCTGACACGGCTCGATTCGGCTCTCAAATCAATAGTAGCTCGTTTAGGGTTTTTTTGCAAAAAATACAAGTTTTAGGTCTGTCTTGTAATTTGACATGCAAAAGGTTTAAAAATCACAAATTAACCCTTAACCCCAATTAACCCAAACCGCATAAACGATTTCCCCAAAATCATAAACCTTATTTGCACATTACTAATCAGTGTTTATGTTATGTAATTTGTTGACGTATTTTGATGTGATTTATGTTGATTTGGATGCAAATTTACCAAAAAATTGATTTGATTTGTGTAAAATAAGTTGCAGATTATATAAAAAAATGGTCAAACGAGCCGTAATCAAGCCATAATTGAGCTCGCGTTAATCGAGTCATAATCAAACTTTTTTATTCGAGTCAAACGAGCTCAAGTCGAGTCACGAGTCGGCTCGATTATAAACGAGTCGAGTCACAAGTCGAATTTTCCTAACTCGGCTGACTCACGACTCGACTCGAACTCATCTAATGCTTAACCTTAACTGAGTCAGACTCGTTTAGGGTGATACTCGGCTCGTTCACACCCCTACCCACAGGTTTGCAATTTAGCAAACACACCCCAAATACAAATCGGCAGTCAATTGGTTGGCGGTGACAACACACCAAATGTAATCACAATCATCCCCTGAGCCATTCCCCAGAAAATCTACCCAAGCTATGGCCATAATCGAACCTGATTTCAGCCAGATCTCACGATTGTCGGTGTCGACAACCTAAGCCAGATCTCACCACCGCCAATGTTGACAACCCTCCCCATCACTATAAAAATACTCCCCTCAACCTCCTGACCAAAACCCACCTCACCCCACCCTCGTTCGCCTCACCAATCGCCAGTCGTTGCCACCACAAGTTTTTTTCGATTTTCGATTGATTCACTCACTGGAAATCACCTCTGTCGCCACCATTGTACTCACTAGCCCTTACTCTTCAAAACCCCTAACATACAAACCTTTAACTGTTTGTCGATCATCATCTCGATTTCTAAGGTTTTCAGTGAATCGGGAAATTGGTAATCTGGCCCAGTGAAGGCCCCAGGTCTTGGTTCAACCGGGCCGAGGTTTAAAACACTGCTATTAACTACTACTACTATTATTATTATTATTGCTAAGGGTCTAAAAACAAAATGACAATGACGATTGACTGCATTGCACTAGGGGTATGGCAAAAGAAACTACAAAGAATACAGCTGTTGCTCCGATGGATAAAAATACAACATGATAATTAGAATACAAATGAATGTTAAAATTTTCGGCAAACCAATAGTTTTATTTCTACAGATCTTGGAGACTGCCTATGCAATCAAACTGCATATAAGGATATCTAAAGTGATGAACCATAACAAGTCATCAGAGGTCTGGATATTTTCATCACACAAGGAATCCCTTCCTTCTGTCACAATGTTGTTTCAGTAAAGATGACCCAGCAAGAAAGTTCCTGAAAGTCATCAAGAAATTAAAAACGGTTCTCCAACCAGCAATTTAACTCAACAACCCCTATAGATGCCAGAGGGATCAGCATTTTGTATGATCCATGGATGCTCTAGAAGCTTGTGTAGTGGTAGGCGCTGTGCAGATTCCTTGACAAGCATCTGTTTTTACATAAGAAAAGGAAAATTCAGGCACGATCCTCAAAGTGAACATTGAAATCGCTGTGATGGCTGGTTGCCTTATGTAAAAATGTAACTTGGTGTAGTTCAAGTAAAAGAACAAACCTGACTAATGAGGTCCTTAGCGCCAGAAGACACAATTGGTTTAGGAGGAAACTTCAAATCCACTTGGACAATCCTGAGAAAGTCATTAGATCAACTATATAAATATCTTGATGCAGGCGGTTCCTGATACCATTTACAAGAAAAATGGATTTGACATCTTAATTGCAAGTTTTGACAAACCTTCTATACGTATCAGAGTGTTCCTTGGCCTCAAAAGGAGGGACACCATAAAGAAATTCATAGCACAGAACACCAAGGCTCCAGATATCCACACTAGCATCATGTTCAACACTTTCCACTGTTAAGAAAATACAACAGGAAGTGAAATTGAATATTGTTTGGGAAGAAACTCTAAATATTTGAAAATACATTTTTCTTGATAAAACTACAATAATAGGATTCAGGTTGCTTCACTCGGAGTAAAGCAAACAAAACCTTTAAAGAAAGCCTTGAATCCTCAAGCTTTTAACTTAACTGGAATGGGCTATATGTACATACCCATCTCAGGCGGAAGATAATCCAGTGTGCCACACATGGTACGCCTACGGTTAAATGTGTGCACTGACCATCCAAAATCTGCAATCTTTAGCTCACCCTGACAAAGGACACCCCACATTGGCGTGATAAGCACAAGAAAGGTTTCACTAATCAGTTAAGAAACATGAAATGGATATAAAAATTTGGCTCACCTGTGCACCAATTAACAGGTTCTCTGGCTTGATATCTCTGTGTATTACATGCTTTCCATGACAATAAATGAGAGCCCGAGCTAATGATGCAACATACTGTAAAAATACCAGCACAAACAAAGTATTCTAGTTAGCTGCTGCATGCGTCAATGAAATCAAATTGATTATCATGCCATTCATAGCTATAGGGGATGTTGTATACTAGTCCCTCCACTTTCTTGTTAGCATCAGTTACATGGTAGTAAACTACTATTGGAATGTGCTTTCTTAATATTAATATTTTTCCAGAATTTGTTTGACTAAAGACCAGGAGAAACCTGAAGTATTCTAGTTAGCTGCTGCATGCTTCAATGAAATCAAATTTATTATCATGCCATTCATAGCTACAGGTGATGTTGTATACGAGTCCCTCCACTTTCTTGTTAGCATCAGTTACATGGTAGTAAACTACTATTGGAATGTGCTTTCTTAATATTAATATTTTTCCATAATTTGTTTGATTAAAGACCAGGAGGAAACCTGAAATTGGGCTTCCATTAAACAGAAGACTCAAAAGTTGACAACATAGGTGGAGAAAATCATAACAACGACAAGATAAGCAAAACTATATATAGAGTATAGAAAGAACTTACCGTAGCAGCACGTCTTTCACTGAAGTATTTACACTTCTGAAGTTCCTTATAAAGTTCACCCTTCGCTGCATATTCTAATATCAAGTAAACTCGTTTCTGCAACAATCATTTTTAAAAAGCAAAAAACAATCAAATTGCCTGTTTACTTTTCAACCAAAACGACATATTCTGGAATAATAAAGCAACAAATTATACCTGATCATAGAAGTAACCATAAAGCCGTAATATGTTGGGATGTCGAAGATGACTTTGTATTTCAACTTCCCGTCGTAGCTGATGTTCAACCTGTGACTGCTGCAGCTGGCTCTTAAATAGCACTTTTAGTGCCACTATATGATTGCTCTGTTTCACAAAAAATAAACAAGCATATATCAAATTGGTGACACAATTTCCATTTTCCAGCAAACACAATCCAAGAAAGTACCAAAAGATAATTTAATAGTACACATATATAGATCATGTGAACTTTCACACACTGGAAAACAAATTGCTCTATTCTTCTGCCCAGCTGTGGATGCCAAAGATGAGCTCTCTTTTGGATCTTGGGCTTTATCAAGAATACAAGTAGCACCAAAAACACAAAAGATCGCTACTCAACCAAAGTATAAATGAACTATGATTAAACAAGCACAAATTATAAGTTTTATCACCTCTTCAATCTCAAACTTCTGTGCAACCAAATGAACGACATTTCAGACATTAAAAAGTATATTCCATGCTAGTTAAACCAAAATGAAGAAATATATATCCCTAGCGTTAGAAGCACAAATTTTACCAATTAAAGAGCTTATTTGAACCCTAAAACTCACAAAAAGTATAAGAAGTATATCTTTATATGCAAGAAATCAAAATGAACTATGACGAGCAAGTAAACTGACCCTCTTTTCTCTAGCCAAATAGACGTGACCAAACTTTCCTCGTCCAAGAGGCTTTCCAATATCAAAGTCATTTAGAGTCCATCTTTTTTTCTCGGTTGCCGAAACCCCCGAATAAGTCTGTACAAAAGAAAAAGCAATAATTAAAACCTCACCATTAACTAAAACTTAAAACAAAAGAAAAACTAATAACTAAAAATATACCATTATCTAAAACCCATATGTTCTTGAATATAATGTATGAATACAACTATACAAGTTACTTTGTTGATTAAACACACAACCCCGATTTCAAAAAAACATATAAATTAAGATGACAACCCGAAAAATCCCCAGAATTTTGAAGCCTCCTAAGAATTTCCAATCTTTATGTATGATCAGATAATTCGAAAATCAGGAATCAGTACTTGTAAGTTGTAACTAAAAAGAAAGGCCCAAATATTCCCCGATTTCAATCAATTCTGAATTTTAAGACGATTTCTTTAATCTAAGGAAAAAATAAAAAAAAAACCGTTTGGTTCTCAAGGAAATGAACAAGGGGAGAAGAAAATTTCCTGGAACAATTTAAGACAATCTCCTGCCTTCCAAGAGCCAAATAGAAGAAACTTCAAAATAGAAAAGAAAAACCCTAGAATTCAAACGAGATGATTCGAAAACATTACGCAGTCAACCACATAAACATATCTCTAAATCATCAATTTGGTTTACCTTCTCTTGCTCTGCAGCAATCGCCATTGAGGGAGAGAGAGTTCGTAAGTAAGTGAATGGTTGATTTGGTATGCAGTTGAAGATGGACAAAGAAAGGAACGGATCTATGGAGACACTTTGAATAAGAATTTCTCACAACGGTCGAATTAGTACGGATCGCCACGTGGTCCATCTCGCTCAAGACGCATTTCAAAAAAATTTCTTTTGTGAGGAGCGTCTTTGCTGTCTTCGTATTTTGTTAGAATAGTGGGTCTACACTCTACAGTCACAAGCTGTGACCTAATGGTCAGAATACGTTCCATCGAGGCATGCTTATTCGATGTGACCCATGTGGGTGGCACCACTACATTCGCTTTTTGTTTTGATCCGACGGTCTTGGTGGGGCTGTGACATGATGATCTTTTGACTTGTAGTTGGGCTTTACAACTTGTCTTTCATGCTTCCGTGGGACCTGAATTGTATACAAGATTAAGAGTAATGCTACGTGCACTAACTAATGTCTACTAATTCAAGTACTATCATTGAAAATTTGAAAAAAAAAATTGGAGAGAATTTCAAATTTCCAATGTTAGTACTTGGATTAGTACTCATTGGTTAGTACACATAGTTTTATTCCAAGATTAATGTGCCGTTGTGCTGGTGTAACCGACTTGCCGTTTAGATGAGTGTGGATGTAAACGACCTGAATTATTTCCCCTAATGATTGCAAGTGATCTAGCTTGAAACTCAGATTATAAAATTGATACAAATGTGTATATAATTTTTTTTAAACATAATTACTATATTTTAATATTTATCATTTTTTTATTTATATGACTTTAACGTGGTCAAATATAAATATATATATATATATATATATACTTTAATGCTTTGTCCCATACTTCAAACGCTTTGTCACCATCATTTTCAATAGTACCCCAACAAATGAATTTAATATTTCTTATACTATCTTAAAATATATACAAGGACAATAAAGAAGAAGTATTTAAACATAAATTGTAAAATATTATACAAGACAATAAAGAGAAGTATTTGAAACATAAATATGAATGAAGGTAATTTTTTTTTTTTTCTTTTAATGATCAAGGTATCCAAGCTAGTTTACGGATATCTCAACAATCCTTAAACCTAAACTATTAGCCAGGTAAAAGTTTCAGTGGTCACCCCTATTAACAATCGATGAGGGATTCAAAATCTCTTGAGTAATCACTCAAAAATGAAATTTTGTTTAAAAATATGATTTTTTTTTTTTTTTTTTTTATTCTTTCTCTACTTAAATGCATGCAATGGTGATCACATTAATTATTTATTTGAGGCATAATTTGTCAAATTCTAATTAGTAATTGTCAATACACTATTTTTCCCATAATTATTACTGAAAGACTCAATTAATGGCTGCGATTTCAAACATTCCAAATTTCTAACGCGTTTGAGATTGTGAAGGTGATAATTAACTAACAGGTTATAAATATTACATCAAATTTTCAACGAATTGACATATAACAGGGGTTTGTCACTAATAAGAGAAAAAAGGTTCAGAATTGCACTCCTTTCATATTAATCAATGCATTTATATTACTATATTAATAATTAATTCATAAAATTATTATGTAGCATATATCTTGATATGTAACAATCGAACAGGTAGCAAATGATGCAGAACACCATCGAACGTCGGTTGTTGGTTCCACAATCCGTGAGAAGTTTAAACGCCTCTAAAGAGAACAACCGTTACACATAAAAGTTCCGTAAGAGACAGTACCTGCCACGTGCCTTCATGACATAAACTCACAACATCAGAGCTGCCAACGCGCACCACCGATTCTCTATGTTCTAGACATCTCCATCACCGTCACATCACACATCACGATAAAATATTACATTTCCTTCTCCGCCACGTCCCCCTCACTCACCTCCTTATATCACCATTACTCTTTGCCATCTCTCACAATCTTTTCATCTTTCTTTCCCATTTCGCGTGATCACAACAGTTACGGTCGTCCATCATGTCTGATCGTCCAAGGCCATGAGCACCCAGGAGTTCTACGACAGAGCACCAACCTCATACCTGACATGAGTTTTTGACGGCAGCCGCAATAGGTGCGTCACTGTTGTTCTTAGCAGGTTTAACCATAACCGGGACAGTGATAGCTCTGATTTTGGCTACTCCAGTACTAGTCCTGTTCAGTCCAATTCTAGTCCCGGCTGGGATGGTGACTTTCTTGGCTGCTGCTGGGTTCTTGTTCTCCGGCGGGTGTGGCGTGACTGCGATAACGTTGTTATCGTGGGTATACGGTTACGTGACGGGAAAGCACCCACCGGGAGCTGACCAGCTGGATTATGCTAGGATGAAGATAGCTAACAAGGCTAGGGAAATGAAGGAAAGGGCCAAGGAGTATGGACAGTATGTGCAGCACAAGGCTCAGGAGGCTAATCAGGGTTATTGAGTTTTGTTCTGTTTGGGTTTGATCTTCATCGTCATCCTTGATTTGCCTTCATGCATGCAAGCTTACATTATGTAGTTGCCTGCTTGGTTATTTTTATTTACTTCGAGTTTGAGTTGGTTTTGTAACCGATCAGGTTTTTCTTTGTTAATGAATCATCTTTTGTTTGCCTATAGCTTTCAGTTCAGCAACCGATGGTCTACGGATTTCAATGTTGTTGTTAAATTCAGCGTATAAAAGAACAAAATCATGGTCTATGAAAAATAAAAATCGGTTTTTATTGGGTTATTGGCTTATTGCTCCACAAAAATTCAGAAAATGTAGAAAAAGCGATTCGACACGTATGCCTATAATGATATTAATATTAATGCATGTGTGCATAGGTGTAATGCAGAATTGGTAACACGTAGGCCGATCATTCTAAAAAAACAGACGTGGCATTCAGCGGCCAGTATTAATATTATGGTGCTCAAACCTCATATTCTGGAGCCCCAAAAACTCTCGAGCTCAAATCTCATATTCTGGAGCCCCAAAAATTCTAATTTAGGCTTTCTAATGCTTAATAAAAATAAATCATTCAAGTTTTATACACAAATTTATAAAACATAATAGCATTTTATTATTAAGAGGATACAAATTTATAAAATATACTAGCATTTTATTATTATTGAATTCAGTAAAATTTGATTAAAACTGTAGGCAAATAAATATATTAGTTAATTATATTTCATATATTTTTAATATTGAATTAATATATGTTAGTTTGTTATAAGTTCAAATATTTTTAGATATTAATATCATATGTGAAAAAACGGAAAATGACTCTGAAATTATACTAGAAAATAATTATATTAACCATGTATATAGTATTGAAAGAATATTGTGAAATTAAAAACTATATATTAATCATGTACTATATATAGCATTGAAAGGATATTATAAGGAAGAAAAAATAAAAGAACAGAATCTAATTTCTTTTCTTCATTATTCTTTATTAAAAAAAATAAAAAAAATGAAATGTTAGAATTCTACAATGGAAAAAAGTATAAACAAAAAATCTGTAAGTAATAATACTATATTATAAAAGAAGAATATGAAGAAATTTAATGATATTTAATGAGGAAACAGACAATATTGAGTGAGCCTTTTTTTAAAGAAATTAAATATGTTTTTAACTTAATTTGAAAAAAAAAAAAAAAGTGGATTAAATTTGAAAAATTCTTAGATAGATATTTGTAACGACTAACGAAGCCTTGAATCAAGGTGGGCCTAACCCAAGGCAATTGCCTTACTGGACTAGCCCTTGAGCGGGCACTGAATGGCGCCTTGTCCAGTCATAATCAACAAATCCGTACACCATAAGCCCACGACCTTTTGGTGATTTGGAAAGAACACATTATTAAGAACAAGTATGCAGCCTAGTAGAAGTTTTGTTATTAATTAAATTTACTTAATGAAAATTTTATGATAATATGAATTGTTTTGTTAAATGATATATCGGTCTTATGGCGCGATTGGGAAGGGAATCTTCAAACTTAATAAAATTCACTTTCATAACATTAAGGAGTTAGGCAACATGCACAATTTTTTTTAAGAACATAATTACTATATTTTAGTATTTATCATTTTATTTATTTATTTGACCTTAAGGTACACGTAAACTAATTCAGACACCTTAGTAATTATAAAAAAATAAAAAAATGATGAACTAAAAACATAAATGAACGTATTTTTTGTTCCCACTAGAAGATACAAATTGATCGGATTAGCTATTACAATGTCTTTAATGATGTTTAGCATAAAAAAACTTAATGGTTTTACTCTGAACTTCATATTGATGTCTTCATTAGTTATATATAATAGTTCAAAGTTAAAAAAGATATTGTGCATAAATTGTTAGCATTTTTTACTAAATGGCTGAAACTTTTAGCTAAATAGTTGTCAACAACAAACAAATGAAAATTTTTGATTGAAACGATTGAAATTTTAATGAGACAATTGACAATGAAAAATGATTGAAAATTTTGACGAACGATCGATCGATCATTTTGAATGTGTTATCTTTAACGAGACAATTGACAATAAAAAATGATTGAAAATTTTGGTGAATGATCGATTATTTTGAATGTGTTATCTTTAATGACACAATTGACGATAAAAAGATGATTGAATCGATCATTTTGAATTTATTATCTTTAACGAGACAATCGACAATAAAAAATGATTAAAAATTTGGGGGAATGATATCATTTTGAATGTGTTATACTTAAATGTACAATGGTCACTCACTTCTAACTGTTTTTCAAAATATCTTTTCTACCCTCACGGTTATACCTGATACTTTTTATTTGGGGTGTCAGCGTTATTTTCACAACGTTGGAGGAAAAAAGGTTCTCAAATCAAACCACAGGGTTGTCAAGAATTTAACTTTGTATTAAAATTAAATGACGATGCGAATGGGAATTTTTCTCAAGTACATAAAAAAATTAAGAGACTATGAGAGCAAAGGGTAAATTGGATGGAGCAAAAACCCAAACAGAGGTAATTGTACTCCAACGTCCAACCCGCCTAAACTCTGAAGCAAACGAAATAAAAGAGGTCAGGCGCAAGTCAGGCCGAAATGGTACGGTGTTTTTTGTTTTTTTCAGCGTTGTTGTTGCTTGCTTTAGTCGTTAATAAATCATTGAAGTATTGTTTATCGGATTTTGATTTAAATTGTTGTTGAATTCCAGTTCTCAATCACTGCTATTAACGACACGGACTCTAGAGGCCAATGGGAACCATTAGCGCCTACTAAAGAAGCCCAGGCATGTCTAATGCTCTTCCTATTTGTTGCGAATGTAGTAACTCTTGTTTTATTTTGTCGACTAAATTATGGAGAAACAATGCTTGTTCATGAAATTATGTGTCGAATTTTACTGGTTCGTTTTGGTTTTAGGGTTTTTTTTTTATTTTTTTTATTTTTTTATGCATTTGACAATTTTTCTTTCTTCTGTGAGTTCTGTACATACTGTTTTTACTCACCATTCTGTGAGGCTAATTTATTATCTGAATAGTTTTACAGGAATTTCATCTTTCACAAACTTACCACGAAGGACTTCTCAAGTTACAGTCTAAAGAATTTGACAAGGCTCGAGAATTGTTAGAATCTGTTCTAAAAAATCCTCTGATTTCCAATGCTCAAGTATATATTTTATTTTTCATCCTGGAAATTTCCATGCTGTCTGTTGCGTTGTGTATTATGATTAGAGTTTATTATCGACATCATTCTTTGTGATCCAGGTGGATGGTAAAGCCAGTGATGGTCATCTGTTGCAGCTCAGGTTAGCACTACGTGGATCTGTCTGCTTTTGTTGAGTTCTAATTTCTCACTTCCCCCTCTGTTTATAAGGGCTTTAGACCTGGTTAATATAATCTCTTGCCATGCTGTTCTTTAGTTAGAATCAGTGACTGGCTGTTGGTAATCATGTCAAATCAATACTTTCAGTTAATTGTGTAATTTTCTTAGTTTTATTTTGCTGTAAGTATCTGGATCAGTCATCTTTTTCTTAAAATGTATTTCTTTACAGATTTTTGGCATTGAAGAACCTTGCTGCTGTTTTCCTTCAACAAGGTTCTGGTCATTATGAGAGTGCACTACATTGTTATCTTCAAGCTGTAGAAATTGACACCAAGGATTCTGTTGTTTGGAACCAGTTAGGAACATTGGCATGCTCAATGGGTTTACTGAGTATTTCACGTTGGGCATTTGAGCAAGGGCTTTTGTGCAGCCCCAATAACTGTAAGCTTTTAATTATCTAAGTATTTGACAATTGTTATTTTGTATTGAGCAACATAGTTTTGTGCTTTTTGGATTTTACATTTATCGTCTTTAACTGAAATACATTTCCTGATGTGCACTAGAAGTTTATCTATTCTGCCTGATGACTTGTGCAGGGAATTGCATGGAGAAACTATTGGAAGTCCTCATTGCTATTGGTGATGAGGTTGCATGTCTTTCTGTTGCAGAGTTAATTTTGAGGCATTGGCCATCACATTCTCGTGCCTTGAAAGTGAAAAATACTATAGAAGAGTCAGAACCAGTTCCATATGCTCCAAGGGGTATAGATAAGTTGGAACCTAAACATGTGCGACTTAAATTTCTTGATAAGAGAAAAGCAGCAGATGAAAATCTTGATGAAGGTCTTGCTCATAAAAAGCTAAACCAGAATATAGAACTGTGCATGGCAGAAGCTTCCTGGGCAGCTCTGGCTGATGCACTCTTGGAAATCCTACTTCCATTGAATAGGTGTGATTCTGAGATGGGAGCTGGGAAAGGATACAGATCAGGTGATATAAGATTAGCTCTACACTTTCCTTCCAGTTCAGAAATAGCCATGGAGATCAGGGAAAAGAAAGGAGTTAACACAACCCAAATGGTTGAAAGCATGCCCCTTGCTGAGTGTAACTCTGAAAGAAGAAGCATCAATAAAGAAAAGGAAGCGAATCTTTTTGAAGAACAACCATTGGAGAGGCGGAGTACTCGTCTAGAAAGGCTTAGGAGTCGTAAACCTGGGAAAGAAGAAGTAGATTTTAGTACCGACAAGGATCTGGCCAAAGATGTCATTCAATTTCTTGAATCTTTTATCATGGGACCAGGAACTAAAAATGGTGATCATGCTAATTGTGTGGTTTCCTGCCCTGATCAAGGTAATTCATTGCAGACTGAATGTCATGAAGTTACTAAATTTGTGAGAGAAACCTCAAATAATTATGGTGCGTACCATATGGGTCACTTGCTTCTAGAACATGCTGCAACTAAAAGCCTTATGTGCCATGATGCAATTTTCAAATTTTTAGAGTTGGAGAAGTTGACCAGACATTGGGGTCAGGATAGGAGCCCTGAATGTAGTCTATTTTTTGCTGAGTTGTATTATGACCTTGGGTCATCTCCTTCCAATGTTTCCAAGCGATCTGAATTCATGTCAGAGGCATCCTATCATCTCTGTAAGATAATTGAATCTGTAGCTTTGAATTATCCTTTTCACTTGACTAGCATATCAGGGAATGGAAGTTGCTATTTAAAGGAGAGGTTACAAGATGCTGATCGAGTATCAACTTCTAATTCAATTTTCCAGGATTCACTTGTCGACAATTCCTTATTGAGCAATAAAAGTTCCCTCTGGGTTAGGTACTTCTGGTTGAATGGGCAATTGTCTCTTTTGGATGGTAACAAGTCAAAAGCTCATGAACAATTTTGTATTTCCTTGTCATTGATGGAAAAAAAAGGAAATATGAAGAATTCTCTACGTTTGATCCACCTGCCACACTGCAAAATCATTAAAGAGTTAAGTATTGAAAGGATTCTTCATCAAATTAATTTATTAGAGGTTGATTTCTTGCTGGAGAAGACTCTAGGTGAGATGATTGAGAAGGAAATGTATATGGAGTGTGTGAACCTGCTTTCTCCACTCCTATTTTCGGCCAAAAATGTTTACCTTGATCTATTACCTTCACCTGCTGCTGATGAAAAAGAGGAAGGGATTACATCTGTTGAACTATCAGCTTTAGACATGTTAATTAAAATGTGTAAGAAGACAAAGCCAATGAACAGCGAGGTGTATCTCAAATGTCACTGGCGGAAGTTGCAAATAGTTATGGCTGTTTCTGGTATGGATGTCAGTATTGCTTCATGCAAACACTTCCATCAGAAGTCAGGGTCAAAAAGGCATTCTTCTTCAGATATAGTAGCAAGGGAAAATTCAATCAGGCATTGGAATCACTTGGTTGCGGAGGAAGTGAAGGCAATTCTGCAATGTGTATCACAAGTGAAGAGCTTTATTGAGCAATCTGGAGATCCTGTAAGTCACTGTTTATTCTTCTAAAGTCCTTTAGAATCTCAAAGTACTTCAAAGTATCTATGTTTCTTTTCCCTTGAAATCATTTTATTCTGAAAGATCATATGAAAGTAAGAGTCACGAATATAAATAACATAAACAGAATTTAGATTATCACTATTTTGTGAAAAGAGATCCTATATTGATCATATCATTCCTTCCTATGGGAGATGTTGGAATGCTTCTCGCTTATAAGTTGCCAAAGAATTAAACCTCATAGTTTCTTTTTCTTAAGAGACATTATCACTCAGCAAACATTGTTTTCAGAAACTCACAGTTAGAGGACACAATTTACATTTTCTTTATAAAGGGATAGTTTAATTGTATTTGACCATTATATTTAACTGTGTAATAATGAAATGACATAAAGTATCCCAGAAATTTGATAACAGAAGTAAATGAAAAAACGATGTTGACTTAAATATAAAAAATTATAAAAAAGGAAAAAGAAAAGTTCAAGTTCACCAAATCTTTTTATTAAAAATTAAAAATTCAAAAGAAAAAAATCATGGTTGGTACCCTGGGCCCTGGACCATTGGTGGCAATAGGCTGCGCCCGCTAAGTAAGGTGCAGCCAAGCATTAGACAAGCCAGGTACAGACTGGTGCTAGCCTTGTAGGCAATGTGGCTCATTGGCCACCGAATTTTTTTAATGTTTGACTTTCTTCTTGTGTTTTAAACTTAATAGTCTTTGGTTAATTAAATCAGTATCCTTTCTACAGTTTGATTTAACAGTATATCACCATTAACGGTCCTTTCTTTGAAGAAAATAAAACTTGTGTCCTTCAATTGTGAGTTTCTGAAAATAGCATCTATGGAGTGATAATATCTTTCTTAATTATCCATGGACATCAGTGTTTTTAGATCCTTCCAGACAAATTTGAACTATTGTAATGGAAAAGGTTTCTTAAGATGAGCATATCAACTTTTTCCCTTACATTTTTGTAAATTGATTTTTCTACTGTGTCTGTTATGATGTCATGCCAAAAGACATTAGCAATGAGAAATATTCTTTCTGTTTGTCATTTCGGTTCCTTTTATGTTCATTTTTCTTAAAACTATAGAGACCTCACCTATGAAATGGGAGAGGAAAATTAAATTGTCACCTAGCTTAAAGAGATTTTATGATCTCTCATTGAATAAAGAAAAGTTAGGTCTTGCATTTAAAAGAGCAGTTAGGCATCATCTCCTAATAGACTAGTCCTTTGGCTACTTGATGAATGGGTACTTAATGAGTGTTTGACCCGCTAAGCATCTGATGTGAAAGAATCAAACAATTCCTCTTCTCAACAGCAGTCGTTAGGCCTCCCACCAATAGTTCAGTCGGGAGAGAGCGACGTAGAGGAGAGATCTTTGAACTTGTTGGAGATAGCCAGATCAAATAGATCAGTAACGAAAAGATGTTTGAGATGCGTTTTCATAGCTCTCTTTCGTAGCGGGATGAGTGAAGGTTCATTTTTTTGCATAACGAAGTTCTCATCCACTGTGTGGGCTTTTATAATTTAAATTGTATGGATTTATTTCGTCTTTTAACATTTATATTATATTTAAAATGCTATTTAACACAGTTATACATTATATGCTTGCAGAATGGCTTTGTTGTTCCATTGAGCAGCATTTCTGATATTCAATCATTGCTGCTGGCAGTCATGTGCAATGTGGCAAGCAATTTTCTCTGTAAGAAATCTTCTGGTCCGGTAATTGTTGATCAAACTGACCAGAAGGTAGAATGCTGCTTTGTTGATGCAGCCACTGCTTTCTGCAAGATTCAACACCTTAACCCTACAGTACCTGTTAAAACTCAAGTGAGTTTACCTTAGTCTTTGAGTTGACCACTTGTAAATTATTTCTTTTGCTTACTTTTTCCTCCTTTTTCAACTTTATGTGCTCTGTTTTCTCAGGTTGATTTAATTGTGGCAATCCATGACTTGCTTGCTGAGTATGGGCTCTGCTGTGCAGGCGAGGGTGGTGAAGGGGAAGAAGGAACATTTCTTAAATTTGCAATAAAACATCTCTTTGCCTTGAATATTAAACTGAAATCTAACATGAACTCTTCAAACAAGGAAAAGCCAGAACATGGCCAGCAGCTTTCTCCTAATACTCATGTCAAAGCACCTCAAGCATTGAGATCAGATGCACTGGATTTGGAAATGGGTGGGGCTGAAACCAGTGGAAATATTGCTGTGAAGAAGGATGATTCTGAAAGGATTACTTCCAGTGACACGGCATGTCTTTTGAGCATAGAGAAAAAAAATTCACAAGTAGAATGTGAATGGCATGATGATGATGATACTATTAAAAAAGGAGAAAAAAATAGTAATGATGTTGATTGTGGAGATGAACTCACTGAATCTGAAAGGGAGGAACTTGAACTAACACTTGATAATGCTTTGGAACAGTGCTTTTTCTGCTTATATGGTCTAAATCTTAGGTCTGATTCCTCCTATGAGGATGATTTAGTAATGCACAAGAATACTAGTCGTGGAGAATACCAGACCAAGGAACAATGTGCTGATGTTTTTCAGTATGTACTGCCATATGCTAAGGATTCTTCTGTAAGTACTTTCTGTCTCTCTTTCTCATTCAACTTTTGTTTAACTTTACTTTCTTGTAATGTCTAGCTAACATATGCTTATGTCCCAGAGAACTGGGTTGGTCAAACTTCGTAGAGTGTTAAGAGCTATACGCAAACACTTTCCACAACCACCAGAAGATGTTTTGGCTGGAAATGCGATAGACAAATTCTTAGATGATCCTGATTTGTGTGAAGATAAACTCTCAGATGAGGCAGGATATGATGGGTACCTTGAAAGCGTAATGAAGACAATATTCCCTGATATGGGAAACCTCAAACATTACAAGCTACCATCATTTGGGAGGTATAGTTGTATTGGTGCACATATTTTTTGTTTGTATCCATTGGATAAGCTTTTTTTTTTTTTTTTTCAAATTGTGCTTAAAATTGTAGATCTTTTCTAATTATTGAGGAATGTCTTATATTTGCTTGTGCAACGAATTTGCTGCAGCTCTGAGCCATATTTGGAGGTATATCACAACTTGTATTATTTTCTAGCTCAGGCGGAGGAGATGAGTACAACTGATAAATGGCCTGGCTTTGTACTCACAAAAGAAGGGGAAGATTTTGTACAGCAAAATGCTAATCTTTTCAAATTTGATCTCTTGTACAATCCTATGCGTTTTGAGAGTTGGCAAAGACTTGCAAATATATATGATGAGGCAAGATTTAGTTTTGTTTGTCATTTCAATCTTGAATATTGTATAATTATGATGAATCTTGATTTGGGATGTTTTTAAATGTTCCTGGTCACTGTCAATAATTTTATTTTTTCTTGGTTTTATAAAAAACAGGAGGTAGATTTGTTGCTAAATGATGGTAGTAAGCACATAAATGTAACAGGATGGAGGAAAAATGCTACTTTACCTCAGAGAGTTGAGACAAGTCGAAGGAGGAGTAGGCGTTGTCTATTGATGAGTTTGGCTTTGGCAAAAACGTCAGCTCAGCAGGTTTGACCAACATGGTGCCTATGCTTAGTAATGTTGGTCAGCATAATGTTCAATCTTGGCCCTCAAATCTGTATTTCACCTCTGTAACACATGGCTTGCTAGATAATAGCAACATGTCAAAGCACGTCCCCAAAGCATATGCATATATGATGATACATAGCTTTAGGAATCAATTCAGGTTATATAATGTGGCAACTTAGTGTACTTTAAAAGGCAGATACATTTGTCTAATTGGAGGACTTATTAATAAAGTAATAACAATGACTCTAAAATCTGTGATGTAGGTGCTTCTGTGGTGTCCTGAATATTAATCATACTCTCTGGGATATCATGGAATGAAATGGATTATTTTCTTGATTAGTATATTGTTGTTAACCATTGTGAATTTTTGTGTGATTCCAGTGTGAGATACATGAGTTATTGGCATTAGTATACTATGACAGCCTGCAAAACGTGGTACCATTTTATGATCAACGATCAGTCATTCCCTCTAAGGATGCTGCGTGGAAGACGTTCTGTGAAAACTCATTCAAACATTTTAAGAAAGCCTTCGTCCACAAGTATTTCTTCTTTCCTCATTGATTTTCTGATTGTATATAATTTATATAGTTAACTGAATCCCTCTATTGTACAGGGAGGATTGGTCATATGCATTTTATATGGGGAAACTCAGTGAAAAGCTTGGATACTCACATGAGATATCATTATTATATTATGATAAGGCTATTGCTTTGAATCCGTCAGCTGTGGATCCTATCTATAGGATGCACGCTTCTCGCTTAAAGTTGCTTTGCACTTTTGGAAAACAGAATTTGGAGGCTTTAAAGGTCTTTGAAACCCAATTTCATTTTGGAATAGTTTTATTTTATTTTATTTTATTTTTTCAAATCCTAATTATATCTGGTAAGGTTTATATTAAAGTTTTAGATCAATTAGCAACTATTAGTTATTGTTTTTTTGTGGAGCACTTGAACTTCAATGATTTTCATCTTTTTGTTCTTCGATTTACTTGACACATCTCTTTTGTCTTGATTATTATTGTTATTTGGTTTCATTCCAGATAATTTCGGTATATTCCTATAGTCAATCCACGAAGGATGCTGTTTTGGACATATTTAGTAAAGTGAATCCTGAAATTCTGCATTTGCCAGAAGTTATAAAGGATGGAAGTCCTCGTGCTGAGGATACAAAAGTTAAGGAATTGATTCAAATGGAAGAGGCTTGGCACATGCTTTACAATGATTGCCTTTCTGCCCTGGAAGTTTGTGTTGAAGGGGATCTCAAACATTTTCATAAGGCTAGATATATGCTCTCTCAGGGGCTGTATAAGAGGGGTGAATCTGGTGACTTGGAGAAGGCAAAGGATGAACTCTCCTTTTGTTTCAAATCTTCTAGGTCATCATTTACGATAAACATGTGGGAGATCGATGGCTTGGTTAAAAAAGGAAGGTATGATCATGTTCACATATTCTCTTTCTATACTTCGAACTATTTATGTTGGTTTTGGACACCCCAAGGACTGAAATCATTGCAATTCGAAGGCACAAACATCTGGTGGTTATAACTTACCAGAGGATAGGATCTGGAGAGTGTTCATGTATCAAATAAGTAGTTGAGATTAATGGCAACTGGATCTCTGCCTGTAGGAATTTGCAGTGATAAATGGAGGAAATTTGAAATTGACGTCATACAGTAAGTAAATACCAAAATGTATTCAAAGGCTGGAAATAACATCTTTCGATATGCAAACACTGTCACATACATGCAAAATGATCTCCTTTAAAAGGTCGTCTTTTTTTTGGATGCTATGTAAGAAGAAAAAGTGAGTTGTGTCTTATTATGTGGTGTCCAGAAAACCCATTTGTAACATTTACTGTGAATGTCATGTTCTAAGCATCTTTTGTTTTTTTTTGTGTATATCAGGCGCAAGATGGCAGGATTGACAGGGAACAAAAAGGTCCTTGAAGTTAATTTACCTGAAAGTTCTCGAAAATTTATTACTTGTATACGCAAGTACTTGTTATTCTACCTGAAACTGTTGGAAGAGACTGGAGACATCTGTACTCTTGAGCGAGCTTATGTCTCTCTTAAGGCAGATAAAAGGGTAATAAGTCATCCCTTGTACTATTAAAGAAGTTTATGGTATTTTGCAAAAAAAGTCTAAGTAACCACTTCATTTTTATAAATGCATCAATGTAAATTCTAGGAAAATAAATTCCTTGCAAGCTCATGCTTCATTGAAAATTGAGAGAACTTTTATGTTGTAAACTGTTTTCTAGCGGAAAAAGGGCTTTGTATGCAGGCACCATTAAATTATATTTTGATTTAAAATATTATAATTTGGTGTAATTGGAGGTTGTGTGCTTCAATAACTTTAATCCAAATGATGATATTAATTCCAGCAGTTAAAGTGGCATCTAACTTCAATTTTGAACCCAGTTTTCGTTGTGCATTGAAGATCTTGTTCCAGTGGCACTAGGGAGGTACATCAGGGCCTTACTTTCATCCATGAATCAGGCAGAGGCTGCTGGTTCTATTGCTGCAAGCAGTTCTGAGCATCAATTGGAGAAGATCTTTGCTTTGTTCATGGAACAGGGGAACTTATGGCCAGAGATATGTGGTGCGCCAGAGATCAAGAGTCCAGAAATATCAGAAAGCAGCCTTTATGGGTAATTTTCATTCTTAAGAGATCCTAATTATAGTTGACATATAGTTCAACGAGGCTATTACTACTGAAAGCATCCTAATCCAAATAATGTCATAATGGCATTTTTCCCCATAATTTGCATAACCAGTTCTACTGTGCCCTCTCCCCATCCCTGAGGCACTAGAACAAAAGAAGTGTTTAGAGTCTTGGCCCTGATTCCCATGCTTACTTTAGAAACTGTTCAAGTTTACTTGTTAATCTAGTACCAACTTCCCTCTATCCAAATCTGATACTAAAGTCCCATAGACAAATAGGTAAGATTTCAGTCTTGCTGTCCAGTGTGTATATTCTACCCCTTGTCCAAACCCAAAATCTTTCTGCTTTTTGAGGAACCTTCTAATATTCTAATTGAAGCCTTTCTGTATTTCTGCTATCATTATTCATAGCACATCCAAATTCTGAAGTATCAAGTTTCCAACAATCTGGGTCTGGAATGTTGCAGATCTAGTTCATGTAGGGCAGTAGACTTTTTCTGTCGTTCTATTTATGTTTGAAATTTAAAGTGCTACTGCAGATTTTCATCAGTCAATGCATAGTCTAATAGTTACATGCATCTCTAACAATCAACTACGTTAATTCAGATATCTCCACCAATATATTGTATCACTGGAAAGGAAGGGCAAGCTGGAAACTCTCGAGGCAATAAATGAGAAGATTCGAAAGCGTTTCAAGAATCCAAAGTTGTCTAATAGTAACTGTGCAAAAGTCTGCAGGCATGCATCTGTTGCTTGGTGTCGATGTCTTATAGTTAGCTTGGCGTTGATCACTCCATCATATTCTGTGCCCACTAGTGAAATTCAACCTCCTAACTCATCAGACAATGGTGTGGAAAATAGGCAGTTGCTTTGTGTTGATCTACAAACAAATGAGATATGGAATTCATCATTTGAGGACAAAACTCACTTGAAAATTCTTGAAACAAAGTGGAATCTGGTGTTGTCGAAAATTAAGAATATAATAATCAAGAAAGCTTTGGATGAAAATTTAGACACTGCCAATTCTTTACTTAAAAGTTCTTACAATTTCTATCGGGAGAGCTCCTGTGTAACACCTGTGTCTGGTGTTAACCTTTATTTTGTGCCATCTTGGTTAGCAACAGAAGCACAATTTCAGCCAGGGACTGATGGGGTCGAAATTCTTGATCTAAGCATTCCTCGGAAGCTTCTTTTGTGGGCTTACACATTGTTACAAGGCCGTTGTGCAAACATCTCAGTTGTCGTAAAGCATTGTGAAGAAAATGTGAAGGTTTGTAAACTAATTGGCCTTTTGGTGTTCTTTTATTTGTCCAAATGTAAATTGCATTCTTTTAAAACATGCTAGGCTCCAAAGAGTCCTTACTAGTTCTTTTGCCCCTTCTTTTTATTTAGAGCCAACAATTTAGAGATCTTTGAGTCCTTTTACGGTTTTACCATTGAAGACAGGGGAGTGACTGATTTCTTTAAACATAAGAGTATACTACATTTGCATGAAAACATGAGCAGGGCTACATAGATTTATAGTGAATGCATGTTGAAAGAGAAACAGAGAAAACTCTGCTTAAAAATGCATGTTGAAAGAGAAACGGACTCTGCATAAAAAAGCATGTTGAAAGAGAACAGAGAAGATCATTTGCATAGTTTTTGGTAATTAGGTGATGCAAGAGTAATGTATCATGTTTTTGTGGTTGTTTTGTACAGTCGAAGATGAAAAAAGGACTTGGAACTTCTTCTGTGTCAACAACGGCAAGCATACAGATGACTATCACTACTCAGACAGGTTATTCTTCCCACTTAATGATTTCTTCTTCTTCTTCTTTAAACCATCTGGGACTCATTCAGTTCAAGAAAATGACCTCACTAAATGATAAATTTTGGCTTTTGAGATTTTACTGTTTGAAAATTGTTGTATCAGGTTGCTAGTTGCCTGATTCTGCATCCTCTTCATGTATTATAAGAAATTTTTGATTCCTTATTGAAACAGTTTTCCTCCAGCCTTGAATTGCATCTGTAAAATAGATTTCTTGCTTTCAGATTATGATATTTGTCTACAAATAAATAATTTTGGCTGTAGGTGGTGCTAAAGATGGAACTTGCGGTGGAGGAAATGAAACAGAGGAAGCCCCAGTTACGATTGCGGGATCTGTATCTGCATCTGCCTCCACTCCCACTCCCACTCCCACTTCCACTTCTGCCCCTACCTCCACCTCCGCTTCCTCTTCTCATTCCCCTGCTTCAGGATCCAACTCTACATTAGTGTCCACTAGCGAGAGCTCGCAATATGTGTTGGCACTGCCTTCTACTATTGAGAATCAAAAGAGCTTACTTGGTCCATCCAAACTGCTTAATCTTGAGGACAACAATGCAGACAAAAATAATAATCTGATGCATGAAGGAGGAGATGATGAAGACAAAGGCTGATTCTCATGTCATTGTTGATTGTTTTATGTAAAATTTTTTTACTGAACACGTTGATTTGCAAATCAATCCCACATGTAATTGAAAATCTAATTTTTACTTCTGTAAGAAAGGAAAGATGTAGAGACTAGTGATATATAATGCTTTTCGGAGTTGTGTAATTAGGAAAAATAGACTACATAAATATCTTTACTAAACCGCTCTCTCCCGAGCTCTGTTGGCGCAGAATTCATACCTCCTATTTCATCATGTTCTAATAAGATTCAAATTATAAAAGAAATTAGGTCTAATAAAATTTATATTTTATAAAAACGGGAATTATTTTTGGTTTTCTCATTGAAAAATCAACTAGATAATTGCTGACATTGGAGTTTTTATTGGGCGAGCCCAAGATTGAAGTTTGCCAGGTGGTGGTCCAAAACAAGTTGGGCCCAGATTAAAGAGTGATGTTATGATAAACGGGGAATTGGAGATAGAGATAGAAAATTCCCAGACAAACGAAATGGGAAGCAAGGGTTTGCTTCTGCTCAAAGGAGTGGCACCCCCGAAGAAGCAGAGCAATTACATTTTTAATTATACAAGAACAAGAAGCAGTAGTTGGTCTTCAAAAACGCCCATTTTCAGAGAATGCTCAACTACAACCGCAACGACCTCCTCTCTTGAACCACCAGACGTTCCTCGTTTGGCTGAAACTGCTCGAATCTCTCTTTCACCTCATGAGGTTTTTTTTTCATTTTCTACACTTTTATTCTTTTTTAACCCTTTCTCCTCTCAGTTTTCATTTTTCCTTCTCTCTCTCTTTTTTTTAGGTTGACGAATTTGCCCCTAAAATTCGACAAGTCATTGACTGGTACTTGCGTTCCTGTTTACACTTTTATATTAGACTTGTTTGTTTCAAGTTTTTATCGCATGGCTTTGACGGTGAGAATTCTAAATTGTAAATGGTTGGACTTTTTAATTTTTCAATGGCAGGTTTGGACAACTTCAAGCTGTTGATCTCAACAGTGTTGATCCTGCCATCAGAGCAGGTTTGTCTTTTTATTTATATTTTGTTATTTTTCAAAGACATTATCTACCATCTCTTACTTCACAAGTCGTGGAAGCATACCTTATTCATGGATGCATATTGAAAGTATTTACATAGGTTTGGTAAATATGTTTTCTAACATGCTCAAAAATTAATTGATATCACTTATGAGAGGATTATATGGTTGTTGGTGAATTATCCATTTTAATTTGTTATGAATTCTCGCACTATTGCTCCTGCCCAGCCGTGGCCTACCTGGCGAACCTTTTTTTTTTTTTTTTTTGGTAAGACGAATATATTATTTAAATTTTATAAAATTTGGATCCAATTCTAGTTTGGTCCATCATTTGTTTCTTTTTGTATCATGGCTCCAAATGGAAATTTCTGGTTGTGTCACTGCTTTTCCCAAATGGTTAATTATTATTTTCAATTAGATGCTCGTGATATGCCGTGTATGTGGAGATAATAACCATATGTAATCATCCTTGAGTAGATGCTAGCTGAAACTTCTAAGATCATACAATCCTTCTGCCTTCTGTCAATATAGTAAATGGAATGTTCCTTAGCATCTCTTCGCAATATTCTACTGAGGTTTAGACGGTTTCATGAAACAATATCTGGGAGAGGCGAAGGAAATTAAGTAATTTTGTTGGTAATTGCAGTAGCCTGGGACAGCTCCGTAACGGAGAACTTTTGACCCATCTTGTACACCTTAGATAGGATAATAAGTTACTAATTTCTTATCAGGAAACTATCTACAGCAAATAATTTTATCATCAGATTTATTTATTTATGTTCTCAGTTTCATGAAATAAAGTCAAGACGGGGAAAGGCTGCTTGGTTGGTGACACTCCTCGAGTTATGTAGTTCTAATATGTTATTAAAATCTCTTTCAAATTCACAGATAATGAAACTGAAAATTTGCGTGACGATTCTCCTGAAACATTTGAGAACAGGTAAGATGGTTTTTTCTTTAAGTTTCCTGCTAGACACACCTTATATGTTGACCAATTTCAAATTTTCCTCTACAGGGAAGCCATGATAGCTGCCATTCCAAGCTATGAGGAGCCATATATCAAAGTTCCTAAAGTCCTGAACAAAGAGTAGAGCTGTTCAGGTAATTTTTTGATCTCTAGTGGCAATTCCTTTTACTATATATTATTGAGCCTATTATTTTCCAATTAATAAGACATGGATCTTTTCTGCTGCTGACACGCTGAAATTTTTTGGAATTTCATCAAACAAAGTTGGTCCCAATTCTATCATGAGTCTGGTCTTTACAATCTGCTTTGAAAGCTTGGCAACACTTCAAAACTTTAACTGTTCTTCTTTCCTTGAAATATTTCCTCTCAAGCCTTTATGCCCCTCTGTCACTTGTTGAATTAAAGAGAGTTGCTAGACGCGTAAGGCCTTTGCTTGTGGATGCCAATAGTCACCCAAGAAAGTTTATTTAAATGATTAATTTAAAATGTTGGAGCATGTCTAATTGCCGTTTGTTTGTTTATGATGATGTTCACCGTGATATCAGTTTGACTAACACGGATTCAGTTTTAACAGCTTGCTGAAAAGACATTAATTCCTTTCTGCTCAATTTTAGTGTTTAGCCTTGCATGGTTTGATTTGGTTATGCTGTTATGTGCAGTACCGGCAAGAGATAAAGGCACTAGATCTGAAATGAAACACCTTGGTAGCAGCTGATGTGAAAATTCTTTTGGTTCCTTCGTTGCTCTTTATGTTGTACAGAGACCTTTTTCTTTTTTCTTTTTTTAAAAAAAAAAAAGAAAAAAAAAAAAAGAACTGTGATGTTTTAGGTGTCCTTGTACGTGGTGACAGGTTCACAGTTACAAATTGGTAGATGAGGCTCTTGTTTTCCATCGCCATTCTCCATTTTTTTTTTAATTTTAAAAAAAAATTATTTGTGATTTAACCTAAACGGTGAAACCCCGAACGTGGTGACACAAATTATAAATCTTTTAATAAAAGGCCCTGCAATAGGACGCTTACAAGCAGCCGTTCTTCATCGACACAAACCTTCAGTTAGAGATATGGTGTAGTCTGCAATATGTACGCAAATTACATCTGCACGACTGCACCTTGAACCACACTCATTGAGAGGCTGCAAGGTATCGAACGTTCAAAAGATTGTCAAAAGACTCAAAACACATCGAGCAGATTGAATTTCCATCAATATCTTTACAAAGATACATCATTTAGTATGTGTTTATAAAACAAGGGGAATTTTTAGAAGCAGCCCAACATATTGGGGAACGACTTTAAATTCTAGCTTATGGATACACAGTCGAATATTATTGTAAAATACTGCATTTGTTGTTAAATCAATTGAAATAAAATAAAAATAATAAAATATATTTTAGGATAGTAATTTTATTTTGAATTCTAAAACAAGAAAATAATAGTAAATATTTCAATCATTTAATGTGAAAACCGTGAATTCAGAACCAGGTCATAATTTATCATATGTGCTATTCATTCAGAGGATGAACTCTTAATTTAATCCTTGGAACATCACTGGATATGGTATATATGTGTTGAGGGAATTGCATGCATTGAGGTTTAAAACAGAATCCAAGACATCACAAAGTAGCCAAGTATAGAAAGAACCTCTGTAAATTGCGAATTCAACATTCACAATGATAATAACTTCAAATCGAACAGATGAAAAATCTAAAACGAAAAAATACATAGACCAAAGCAGAGTGAAGAAACTATGTATAGAAAGCATATGGGCACGCAGACAAAATGAACTCCCTGAAGCATATGGGTATGCCCCCATTTGTTATTTAATATTTACATTGAATTTTTAACAAAATAGTAAAGAAAAAAGAACTTCAGCATCCCTCAGGAATTACATGAATGAATGCCTGCCTCTATTTAGTATTTATATCTTCATTTTGTTTCTTGATTTTTTTGGGTTATTGTTTTTGTTCTTTTCCTTTTTTCTATTTCTACTGTGTCAGCCACTCACCTAGTACTCTCAAAGAACATACAGAAAGAGACCAATTGAAACTGAACAAAAAAGGCTGTTAAAAGTGGAATATATCTTGTAGAAGTATATCATCATGACTGCCAGAAGAGGTCGAAATTGTTACTATACAATGATCGATCCTGAATCTCCAAATTGGCAACATGCCAATTAATAAGCTGTGATTGGAGAATTTTACACAAAACTAGTCCAGCCGGAAAAAGCCACCATTCACTTTCATCCCTGCACCAACCAATAAGAAATGAATAGACAACATTAGGCACACTTACAGATTTTGAATCAAAATAAAAAGTTACAAAAACACAGAATCATCTCACATGTTAATATTCCACGGCTGAAAGTTCGGAAGTCTCTTATTAGGAGATGATTGACGGTTATAGTGAATATATCCACAAAGGAAAGCAACGCCCTGGTAATGGATCACAAGTCAATTGAACAACAATTTCTAAATTCAAAAAACAAAGATAAAAATGTAAATCATTAATCTGAGACAAAGGAAAAAACTAAATAGAAGATTTGTAAACCTAAACAATATAATTTGAACCCCAACACTAGAGATGTTTTACAGTCCACTCAGGAGTCTGCAAGTTTCATGTCATTTTGGAGATAGGGAACAAAAATGTGTCTTCTAAAACTCTTTATTTTTTTTTTTTTTTTTTTTTTTTAAATCATGAAAGTTGGTAGTTACATTGTTTCATTGAAAAAAGAAAGAAGATAACATATTTGGTTAGCTGATGGTAATAGTAGTGACATGGCAAATGGTAGGAGCGTAACATAAAAGATGGTTCTAGGATCAAGGCAAGATGAAAACTTCAGGCTGGATAATAGTGGCGGACAGGTGGTCATCGGTACTGAGAGTAGCAGTGGTGGTAGTAAATAAAAAGTGATCAACAATCACAGGGCGAGGGGGTCGTATGGCGTCATAACTTTGTATTTCTTCTCTTAAATTTTTGAAAGCATAAAAAGGTGTTGTCCTTTTTTTTGTTCCAACAACTTCTATAAAACTGCATCATAAATATTGCAGTCCACAATCAGAATTAGAAGAGAAAACAGAAATAATACCAAGCAACACCTAAATTTCAGTTATTTTTAAACATGTTCTGGGCAACCAAAAGGGAGCATATATCACTGTTCTTCCACCCAAACCATTCATCTTGATAAGACTCTCCAGACAAGAATTAAAGATCTTGCTTGAACAAGAAAATAAGTTCCACTGCAAAGACAAGAAGACTTACCACATTAATCAAGGATGTAACATTCCACAAAGCATAAACTCGTGCTAGACCTACGGAACGCCTTGGTCCAAAACTGAACAAAGCATTGATTCCAGCAGGAAAAGGAAGAAGAATGCCAAAAGGTAAGATAAACAAAACAAGAAAAACATCCACCAAAGAAATTGAATACAGCTGAAGCAACGTAAGCAACACTAAGCTAAAATCTCCTAGAAGTAGCACTGAGATCACTAAACCAACAAGGTCCTGCAATTAAGAAAAACAATTAATTAGAGAGCGAGAGAGAGAGACTTAAATTTATAGTAAAGTTGAAACAATCAACTAGTATCAAAAGCATGTGAGGAGACCTGGTGGCCAACAGGCTTAGTATTATGAACAATAAAAGAGAGAAAGTAAAATATGTCTCTCTTCTCTTCAAGCATTTGTAAGCTGTTAGTATCTATAATCCCTCCATAACTCCTTTTTCGCTTCATAAAATTTTCACAGCTTCTTTGGGCTCGACTTAAAAGCATATCATCACTCAAAAGACCAGATGGATTTTCCCCTCGTATGCTCTTTAAACTGTTAAGTGTAAACCAAATGCAAAAGGAAACAAGTCAAACTTCATATCATCTAGCACTGGATATATGCTTTTATATATAGGTGCAAGCATTCATATATAAAGAAGTGAAATTTTTTGCATGGCAAGCATGTTAATCTTCCTATATCCTGCCAGTCATCATGATGATGGTCTTTGAATTTGTTCAACTAATTATATGCCACTATGTCTTTCCTGCATATGCATTTATTATACCCTCAAAAGTAAACTAGTTAATGTGCTCTTCTAGATTTATAACTAATCATACCAACTGCCAAACTGTTACAAATCCACCAACATAATACCTAAACTTTAAACCTTAGTAGCTTCTACTGTAAAATGACAGTATAAGAAACAGATGAAACCATTACGTAACTGTTGCTCAATTCCTCCTACTTCAGTACTTTCAGTGTGGGGAGACTCAGTGTCTTCGTCCATAGCATACACCAAAAGTCCATACTGGCAATAACCACAAGTGGTAGCCTGAAACCAGGCAAGATCAACATGTACGCCATGGACTCTCAAAGTAGGATTGGCATGAGTTTCAAGCCATCTTAGGACAGGTCGAAATGTTACTCTTAGCCTTCCACGACGAACTAAGCGCAATTGTGCATTTAAACCAGCCACCAGTCTATACCAAGTGGTTGGTGGGACAGCCTGCAATTGAAATAAACATAAACAATTTAAAAAGAGGACTTACAATTAGAAAAGCTGTTTGTTTAAGACAAATCTCTTTTCCAAGAGTTCATGAACAAATTATTGACCAAGGATACTCAGTTAAAGAACCTGGCTCATTAGGCTGGTAAGAATATTATCACTTTGAAGTGAGAAGGGAGCCATGTAACTTCCATCACCACCAAATATCATTGAAATTGGACATCTTTGATGGAGGTGAGGAGGAAGATCTGATCTCTTTTCATCTCCGCCAAGGAAGAAGTCCAAATATGCTAGCATTAGATCAGAAGTTGCAGCTACCTACACATAAAGAAAAAAAAATGCTAAAAAGACCCAAAAAAAAAAAATAAAAAAGAATAACAATGTGCTATTCATCAAGACTATAAATTATACTTTGATCACATTGCAGGATTTAAATATTCAGGGGCATATAAATCGTCTTTTTTGCTGAATGGTAGTGCATGCATGCAGATAAACAAACAGATTGTACATATTCAAACAGCAAGTAATAAACCGTAAAATAGCGTCACATATTTGTAAGCAAATAATTTTTNTTAAACCAGCCACCAGTCTATACCAAGTGGTTGGTGGGACAGCCTGCAATTTAAATAAACATAAACAATTTAAAAAGAGGACTTACAATTAGAAAAGCTGTTTGTTTAAGACAAATCTCTTTTCCAAGAGTTCATGAACAAATTATTGACCAAGGATACTCAGTTAATGAACCTGGCTCATTAGGCTGGTAAGAATATTATCACTTTGAAGTGAGAAGGGAGCCATGTAACTTCCATCACCACCAAATATCATTGAAATTGGACATCTTTGATGGAGGTGAGGAGGAAGATCTGATCTCTTTTCATCTCCGCCAAGGAAGAAGTCCAAATATGCTAGCATTAGATCAGAAGTTGCAGCTACCTACACAAAGAAAAAAAAATGCTAAAAAGACCCAAAAAAAAAAAATAAAAAAGAATAACAATGTGCAATTCATCAAGACTATAAATTATACTTTGACCACATCGCAGGATTTAAATATTCAGGGGCATATAAATCAGTCTTTTTTGCTGAATGGAAGTGCATGCATGCAGATAAACAAACAGATTGTACATATTCAAACAGCAAGTAATAAACCGTAAAATAGCGTCACATATTTGTAAGCAAATAATTTTTGTATACTATATACAACAGAAAAAATAACACAAAATCAATTAAAAAATATAAACAGTCAATTATATAACAAAAGACTACAACATTCTATAAACAACCCATAAGTATCCTTTTCCCAGTGGGCAGCACCAAAGACTAATTTGAAACATAGAGATAATAACAAATCCAAAAAATACAAGCAGTTTAACAGATTAAGGACATCAAAAGCTAGTCGCAGTCCCCAGACCAGGTTTGATGAATTCCAATGAGAATGAATAAAAAATAATTCTGTCTACTGCAAACTAGTAAAGATAAGGTATAGTTAGACCAATAATTCTGTTTACATAACCACTATACACATTCACAACAGCATAATGCCATTTAATTATCCAGCAAAATGGAAAAAAAAAAAAAAAAAAAATCCTTTCGTAGGAGAATGCATACATACCATTCAGGTATGAATATGTAACAAAAGGAAATGGATGGGAGAATAAGCCTAAACAAAATCTCAAACAACCAATAAGCTGAAATGTACTTTATGAGGAAGAACACTAACATACAGCATGTGCCAGGAAGAATTGGACATGGTACAACAATCACACAACTTTATAGGTCAATTTAAGTCACAACAATAAACCAATTAAAACACTAGTTTAGTAGAAAAACCTTAAGCCCTTCATAGAGAGCTCGTGAACGGCATGAACGTAAGCAAGCATGGTCATATTCTGATCGAACAAATTCACGTAATCGTTGCAGTTTCATCCTCCTTCGCCATTGTTGCCAGGACCATGCAAGGGGATATGCAAGAATAGCAAGAATGCTATACATTGCACCCTCCCACCAATGATAAGCGGCAATAGCATTTATCTCATCCACAAATGTATTAAATGCACTCTCGTATCTGCCAAGTCATATAAACAATGGAAAAAAAACAAATCCTATAAACAAATTTCAACTAATAAACAAAACCAAATATCCTCCTACTCATTAAGCTATAGAATTCAAGAACATCATCATAAAGTAAGGGACAAACCAAAGAGCAGCAATTTTACTTACACAATCTCTTTTATCTGCTCTGGGGGAGTATGAGGGAGGTACCAGGGTTCACTGAAAGTATTAGGACCCATAAAGTACATTCTATGCACGTGACTCTGGGACTCCTCAGCTCTGTTTGTCTCCAAAACCTGAAAAAGCAACAGCATATTTTAACCTCAAATGAAAAAACGTATAACCAAAACACAAAAAGAGAGGGGAGTATCTGTCCATAGATAGTGACAGAAGGACTAAAAGCTATATTTCTACCCAGACAAAATCATCCATAAGCCAAATTTTTTTTGAAGAAACCTCATTCAGTGACTCCAGGAAAGGAAAGGAGTGATCTATTTGAGAGCCCTGTTGAGTGGAAGCTGGGCCTGGTAATTCATCAACCCCAACAAATTTCATTCTGGCAACACTAAGCACCAGCGCCAAGAGAATAAGGAGACCTATGAGAAGAAGACAAAATAGCCAAGGCCCCCCAAAGGTGTAAATCAATTCCTCAAGGGCTGTATAACAGTGTGGCATGTGATATCTGTCCGAAATGCATTCGTAAGGACAAGGTGTTTCGGCAATACCACCTGTTAGCATGGAAAAAAAAAAAAAGGTTCTGAAGTTTATTACCATATTCAACTTTTGGCTTACAGTAGAATTAAAAAATTAGCAGCAAAATTTTACCATACTGGTTTTATAACATGTACCACAATGAAGCACCAATAATTGAAAAATACCTCGGACAGAAATATAAACTGCACGATGGGGAAGCTCATGAGCAGGACAGTGATGACAAAGAGATTTATCAGATCCAGTAACGTTCTTATAAGTGCCAACAGGACATTCCTGAAAAATACCAACAACACAATTTAGAAACTCGGAAACTTTCTTATAAGCACCAGCTGGACAATATTGAAGAATGCAACCATCATAAATAGAAAATTTATTGATTTACTGCAACTTGAAAATTAGACAAAAAAATCTCTTAAACAAATGTATTGAATTAAAAAAAAAAAAAAAAAAAAAAAAACAAACATAAGGCATCAAAGATATTACATATTTAGAACACAAAAAACCAAAATGTCATAAATTGCAACATCACCTCACAAAATATCCCATAAAGCCCTTTTGGGCAGCTTTCCCAGTGGCGGTTCCATTTTCTCCATCACCACCGTCATGGCCACCAAAACCACCCCTATAAAATGATAGACACCATCAACATGATTGGAAAACAGCGACTTCACATATGAACATCAATGGGAAACATTATATTGCAACCATGACTGACAACTTTTGATGTTTTTAATCTCTATAAAACATGTAAATGATAATTAAGAAACAATTGAGAATCCCTTTGACAAGCACCAACACATGATTTCTATATAAAACTTGTTACATCTGATATGAGATGAAACATTCTCCAATCTCAAAAACTTCAAATCATGAAAATGGTGTAATCCAGAGGTCTGCACTCAGAAAAAGTCTCCAATATAATCTTAGAGAGGGTGTCCTATGGCAAATGGCTCAAAATGAATACAATATGTATGGATTCCACAAAATTATTCAAAGAACAATCAAGGAAAAGCAAGTATGAAGTTCCGCATGCTAATACCAGAGCAGTTGTTGTACCACAGTAGTAAACACAACTTGTTTATCACACTCGGGATTTTTGGGTGTCGCACATATATGTACCATTTCTTTAACTGTTCCCAAAATTATTAAAAAAAAAAAAAAAAAAGCTATGAAAATATCATTAATATGTTGCCTGATGTCCACTTGATCAGTAACAGAAAGAAAACGAGCAACACAAATCAGTACAACTTGGTATAGCTCTTAATTCTTCCTTAATTAACAAATCACCTAACTAATTGCTAACATATTGCAATGCACCAGACATCCTTTTTGAACTAGTGTGTTGGAGCATATCTGTACGTGTGTGTATAAGTTCTTGGTTATGCTGTTACGAATGGAAGAACGCAATATTTGTCCAGTAGCAATAGAACTCTCAAGGGTAATACATTATGTAGGAAAAACAGGATTAATTTAAGATTATTTAGACCTTATCTGTCTATCTATTCGGATTGAGTGTTCTAGCTTGTTTAGTCTTTTATTTAATTGTTTTATTGTTTAATTTCAATTAGGATTTCCTTTATCTTTAAGCCTATAAATAAAGGATTCTTTCATTATTGTTTTTAGGCTTGGTTGATTATTATGGAATAAAGTTTTGATTCTCTCCCTACTGATTATCTTTCTTCCTCCTTTAATTCTTCTGGTTTCCTTCTCTTTCTTGCTGTCTCACTAATCTATCTCTGTCTATCTCTTCTCTATCCTTCTGTTTCTTGATTCTCCTATCTTAATTCTTCTCTATCTGTCTGATTTTCTATCTAATTTCTGTCTATCTCCCTATCTTGACTTAATTCTCTATTATCTATGTTATTCTTTATCCCCTCCATCACAGTGACTATATATCTCCCAAGTCACATTTATGCAACCTCTCTCAAAGTTCCAAAAGGGAAAAAAAGGACTCAAAAATATAAGTCGGAAGAAAGTATAGCTACAGCCTTGGGCAAATGCTCATGGAATAATTTGGGGAAAAATGACCAACTACAGATTTAAGATACTCCAAAGTACAAATAACATACAACCAATTGAATGATCAAGTTTCAAAAAAATTCAAAATTTTACTCCTATGATAGATAAACCCCTAGAATGTATGAGTAGTATCATCGGAAATATATAGAACTTGAACAAATTAGCTAAACACAAACCCGGTGTGGATGCTTCCTCTCACACTTGCAATGGGCTGGTATACATCTCCTGTTGGAATGTCTGACCAATGAAAGTGAATCCTCCCACCACCTCCTCCACCGCTACCCTTGGAGCTGCCATAACCACCAACACTTGAAAGAGTAGCAGACTCACCAACGTCCAACGTTCGCAAAAAAAGAAGTATAGATCCACCAGAACCACCACCAGGACCTCTGCTTGAACTTGCTCTAACAGCAAATTTTTGCTTAATGAAAGATCCTCCAAAAGTTTCTCCATCAGCTGTAACTGAGCCTTCTATGGACAAACTAGACAAAGGATGCTCAAACGAACCCATTACTGCTCAGACACAGAATGAACGAGAATAAGTGAAAAGAAATAGAAGTGAAAACTATAACTACCAGCTCAGATACTGTAAAACACGTCAAACAAACCAGTATTCTCCACATAAAAAGTTAAATTACCACAATGTTGACTTCTAAATTCAAAGAATGTGAAGAAAAATATTTTTTCCCAGCCCCAGGCAAAAGAAAGGACATACAGCAGAGCATGGGCCAATCTAAGAGCCCCAAACCATTAGCAGCATACACAGCAAAATTCTTTCAGCAGTTACAAACACAACAGGGTAATGAGACTTAAAATTTATGTTCAGAAGAGTTTCAAGTGCATCTGTTCAGTGAATTAAAAACAAACATACCTATAATACCACCACCAGCAGAAGAATCATCTAAGCTGTCATTTCCACTTCCACTTCCAAGTTCACAGGGTAAATCAACATTTCCATAAGAAAAACCTCCTTCAACACAGCTACCATTGAAGCATCCACGGCCACCTTTACCACCATGCCCACCACCACTGCCAATACCATTGCTCAGAACATTACCTCTACCCACACCACCTGTGCAGCCTGCATAACCAAAAAATATAAGCAAATACAAACTTCATAACATGTAATTACATAAACAAAGAGTTCAAAAAACCAAGGGGAACCAAATTCTATAAGATTGGTGATAGTAATCATCCCTCCCAACAACAAAAGGCCCAAAAACTATACAAAATCAACACAGAACCCCTTCCCAATTAAATAAATTAAAGAAAAAAAAAAGATAAATCTTCAAATTCAACTACCGAAGCTCAAAGGAATAAAAAGATGAACTCTACCCCACAATTTGCTACTGCCTTCTTCTTTTCTCTCAACAGAAAATGATTATTTCTTTTAAGTGAAATCACCTAAAATTAGCTAAAACAATACATCTCCGAAGAATTTTGGCCTATTTCCCTCTCTGTAAGGTAACAACATCACAAGAATGTGGAATAGTCGCATCTTAGTTTCTATACTAAAATACAATATTTCACACATAAAACAGTATATAGTCCATTTGTGGACTTTAAGGAAAGAAATGACAGCAGCAAGAAGGCTGGACAAAAATACACAGAAGAGTCAGAAAAGAAAGCATACCCATCCCAGATGCACTTATCGTTCCTAAAGACTGAACAGATATAGTTCTTGCCCTGTGGAAATGAACAACTGATCCTTCTACAAGGCCTTCAACACTGACATCCTCAACTCGACATATCTGAAAGCAAACTAACACAAATGTTATATAAATTGGAAAAACAAATAAAAATCTTCAATTTTTTTAATTGCATAAAATATATTTAAAGAACACCTGAAGAGTAAAAGACAGAGACGAGTTCACATTGCAGTCTTCAGGGGGATGAATAAGTTCAATAGGGCAATCTTGGCGTTCACAATACAGCCTCGGTGTACTACAAATATTACAAAAGAAAAAACTGGTTTAATATAAACATAAAGCAAAATAAGAAATTGAAAAAACAAAAATTATACAACCGCCAAGCTTACACAGAATCAGTTGTTGCATTCTGCAAGGGACCCCGCAAAACAGATCCAGGTCCAACCTGCATTCAAAACATGACAAATTCACTTAATACTCATATATGGAAAGAAGTATAAAATTTCTAAATACACTGAATAAACATTCTGTTACAATTACTCGTGGAAGTCCGCAAATAATATCATTGACAATATTCCTTGTTCTTTTTATTTCCATCGCTTAAGTAGTTAGTCACTCTAATATAGAATCATTATAATTCATTGTCAGTGAAATATTTTTGGTCCTTGAGGTTTGGTCTCAGTAACAGTATGGTCCAGTAGAATCTGTGATAGTAAGACTTAGGTCTTTGAAAGGTAACAATTTTTTAAAACTTTTTTTTGTAAAAGTCTAAAATACCCCTAATCTCTTTCTTATGTAAATGAAATTAATAGAATTGTGAAAAAAATAAACGGCTGCTAACTGAGAATTCTGGTAAAAATTTAGACAATTCCATTAATTATAAGAAAATAAAAATTAACAGATTAAGGATATTTTAGACATTTATAAAAAATTCAAAAAATTAATACCTGACAAGGACCTAAAGGTACTACCAGATTCTACTGGACCTTACTGTTACTTAGGCCATACCTCAGGGACCAAAATAGATTTAACTCTTCATTATCTGTTTGTTTTGTAGCTAAATAATTGTAAAAAAATGGCAAAGTAAAAATTTCAACTAATAAACCAAACAGAAAGAGGGTGCTCCAAAACCTTGTGTTTACCCAACCTAAGCTCAAGTTTTGGTTAAGGGGAAGAGAAACAAAATTAAATTAAAAAGAACAAACGTTTCAATAGCACCTCTGCAACAAGTCAAACAAATCGAAAGTCACATTTCGTAGAATATACAAGGGCACATACTTAACCAAAAGATGACCAAACTTTATGGAGTAAAACAACCTAAAAAAGGGATTCCAAAAACTCAAAAATGGTGAGGAAGCTTTAAGAAAAAACCCCAAAAATATAAAATGGACACAGAAATATCATGCCAAGACCAGATAATTCAGCAATACTTAATACATTGCTGCTAATTTCCCACGACATAAAATGTCATGGCAAGACCTGTAACCATCCTAAATATATCACATTACAAAATGTTATAAATGGGGGTCCCAATGCTACACACATAATTTAAATAAATAAATAAACCTAATGCAAATTCTTGAGTCATGACGTGGATTGGTCTATAAAAAAATCACTATGCATCGCCAAAAGGCAGTTGAGAACAGTTAAAGTAGGCAAGATTGAAATTTGAAGGCAAAAGCATAATGTATAGTTACATATCCCATACCATACCATAAAGGTTAATTAATAGCAGTACACAAAGAAGCATAAAACAGATATTATGCATCCAACCATCTATGAAGCTAACACAAGTAAAAAAAATACTATCAAATTTTCATATCCATCCAGCCAACAAAAAGAAAAAGTTTATAAGCGACCATACCAAGTTCCTCAGACAATTGGTCAATTATAATCAATTAAAGAACAGTTTCTTACATGAATACCGTAGAATAATGATAGAACCAGACGTTGTGCTTCAATACAATCCCCTGGTCCTGATAAATTTAATAAACCTTGTCCATGAACTCCCAAATTAGCATTTGAATGTATGACAGAAGATTCCTGTTTCGGAAAAAAAAAAAAACGATACCATGTCACATATGAGTGCTTCCAATCTTGCACAACGCTGGCAAAAACATGATAGATCATATACCTTTAGAACAACTAAGTTACTAGCCTCAAGCAAGGAAGTTGCAACCATTCCATCTCCACCACCATCTATAAGCATTTCAGAATTCCACATTAGGAATATTTTTACTGACATGCGTAGAGCTCCATAAACCTGAAGTATACCAAGCCCAATGGTCATACAGCAGACCAAAACATAGTAAGAACTACATGTATATATAAAGAAGCATCTCATAAGGCAGAACTAGTGTGCAAGCTCTGAATGCAACACAAACAGAAAAATGAGAAGTATGTAGAAACAAGGAATTTGGTTTGAATTATTTCAGCTGTGTCCAAAGAGAAACAACAGCATTCATATAAGAGCCATGCTCATAAAAAGAATAAAATGTGATTCAAAAATAGCTAATAGAAAATAGGGACAATGCCTATAGGAATTGTCAAATTACAAGAATACATAGAGATACTTTAAATTCAAAAATAAATAAATAAATAAATTGAAATAAATTCACAAGTAAAATAGAAGCTCTCAAAATATAGACAAAAGATATACACATATGCTATCCTACACACACACAATTGAAGAGGAAGAGATATAAGGGGTCAAGTTAAGAAAAAGCATGGAGGTTCACAGGATTGAGATTTTCTACTTTTAAGGAGAAAAAAATCACACACACACACAAATATATATATATATATAGAAAAGAGAATGTTCTGATCAAAATAAGTGGATCTAGATGTTCAGGACTTTCATAATAATATCTGGCAACAAAAGATCAATATCAAAAACACTCGGAGTATCTTTCACATTAAGAACCAGGAGCACACCATGAGATGGCACTCACCTTGATTATAGAGTCACTCATTAACAACTCTTCTGCTAGTAATTCAAACTCTGACGAAGCATAATGAGCGAGCCCAAAGCTCAACACTCCACGACACAAAAGGCTTATCTGACCCTGGACCTATAGACAGCATCAAAACAGATGACTGAATTACATTCTTCATGTAAAACATAACTGTAGAAAAGATACTCAACAATTCCATGATATTATAGATTAAAAATTATCCAAAGGAATCTGATTCATTAAGGTAATAATGTATTTAAAACATTGTCTCCAAAACTCTAATAAAAATGACAAATGAAAAAGACCAAGAAATAGCAGCAACACAACATGATCATGTAGCAAATATTGAGAATCTGATACACTAAAAGTTCATAATTAAAGCTGGTCAAAGAGAAGATAAGGTACATAATATGATCATGTAGCAAAAAGAAGTTCATATAAATACCCCAAAAATGCATGTAAAAAATAAACATATAATCACACTTGAAAAGGAGCATCATTGATGCTCATTTGGTGCAACATGTTGAATTTAAACAAACCAAACAGAACTACACAAACCCAAAGGAAACTGCTCAATGGTTCATACTCCATTCATTTCCTTCATGAGAAACTTCTCACGCAAGATCTTATCAATTTAAAATGGCAAAAAGGGTAGAGGAAGTGGACCCAGCTGCTGAAGGAAAACACACCCAATCTCACCCCAGAAAAAACAGAACCTACAAAAAAGACTATAAAGGGAAACGAAAAGAGAGGAATAAAACCTAACAAGAAGCCAAATCAAACAGCGATGAAAGATTGTAGTCAGCATCCATTAAGAATTAAATCCCACAAACCTGTACACGGCTCCAAAGCAAGGGAACAGTAGCCCTGGCATGATTTCGAACATAAACATTTGTCCACATAGGCTGGTTAGGAAACTCTAGAAGAAGTGTCTCTGTATCCGTTGTCATATTGTGATTGCTAACAGTAAGGGTCCGAGGAACAGCATCATACATAGTCCCAGCAGCACCCGCATTTTCTGGACAGCCAAAACTACTTCCACCTGAAACAATGATAGTGTAAAAAGCTTGAATAGCACAAAATTTACACAACTGACAACTAAAACAGAACAAAAGCATAACACCGATAATGTTGCACAACCATCTGATAACGAGCAAGTGATCGAGCCCTAATAAAAATTTCTCAGCAACAAAAATTAAGTCAATCGATGAATGAGTGCATAAGTGCTCCATATACAAATAAAAGGAGAAAACAACAAGATGGAAACACAAAATTTCATGGGAAACATGCAAAGGTCTTGCAATGACTTTTGAAAAACTAAACTTTTATAAAAATGTTAATGTTGTCATATATTTAATGCAACAACATTGATATAACCAAAAAGGGAAATTCTTATAAGAATAGAAAATTTTAATTAAAAATAATAATCATATTTAGATAATGAGATATTACCAATAACAACCAGAAACGGTAAACTAGGGGTGACAAATAACTCTCACTACAATTTAATTAGGAGGGAAGAACAAGAGGAGCCACAGCAATAGAAATTATAAGTCTCACCGTGAACAAAAATTTTTGGTTCATCATGTCTGCTGAAAATATTAACTGAAACTCTTCCACCGCCACCACCAGCAAAACCATTACCACCACAGGCACTAATCACACCACTTCCTGTCCTGCTCTTCAAAGAAAGATAATGAGAATATCAATACCTGTTTTTTGTGATAAGCAAAAATTGTTTAAGGTGATTGAAGTGAAACAAAAGCAACTACTACTTGCTATATATTTGGCAGAAAGTTAATATTCTTTAGATGTATCTTACACCTTAGTACATAAAAAACCATTATCAATGTGGTAACTGGTGACAAAAATCTGCAACCTCAGTCCACGTTATGCAGTCTCACACAATCTCCACATCTTAATTTATTCATTTAAGACGCTTCCTTTTCTTTTGATCATGCTTCCATATTGATTGAGAAAGAAGAGGAAATTTTTAGTTCACCTTTCAAGCACAATTTGGTTGCCTTAGAAGAAAAACGTAATATCTGAAAATTATTGAGTTGAGCAAGCAAATTAACACCAAAGAGGAACATTCAAGTTCTACAAGATATGAACTCTAAAATTTGATTTCATACATGTTTTATTCGAGGCCACATATGAATTGACTCATTTAGGCTTATAAACTTAGAAGAGGATAAATAATTTTGAGAAGCAAATTAACCTTTCTACAAATTAAAAACGATATAGCCTTACTCAAAAGCTAAAATCTTATTCTTTAGTAAGAGAACAAGGCAAGAAAATATAACAGAGTAAATAACATATTGAAGTTATTAGAAGTCTAAGAGTTAAATCTTAAATATTATCAAAAACTACTAGATTCTACAGTCACCATGACTTATTGAATTGGATGATATCAATGAGATCACAGCATAAAAGCAAACTCACTTTTCCCCAGTAAAAAGTTGTCTCCTGCTCCACTTCGTTATTGCATTTTATTTCCCCATCACACAGATACAATAACAACTGTGCTTCAATTTTGCATTCATTATCGTCGTCAAGATATTCTGGTAATAAAATTGCAAAAAATGTAATTCCACTTTTTATCTCCTGTTCTTAAATTAATTACCTAAATGAAAATATGAACAGGAACAATAAATTTGAAATAATTAGGAGTTGTTACTTTCCCTTAAATAGGTCAGACCTTAATGACAAGGATGCCAACTACTGAAAACATAAGGAGTTTCACTTCTTTACAAGCGAAATACAGCCTGAATGGTGGAGCTACTAACCACCACTTAAAGCAAACATCAGTATGCCTCTAAACTGGCACTAATTGAATTGTGGAACGGGAAAGGGAAGAAGAGGCAATTTTTTTTATGGACTGGAAAAATGCACAATATAAGTAAGTTACATTAAATGCTGTCCACTTATTTATGATGCACTGATAGTCCAGTAAAGTTCTTGTACATGTATAAATATTTTTTACCAAGTTAATATAACATGATTTTGACAATGGACAACACAAAGAAAATCTGGACAAAATTTTGGGGCATAGTAAATATAACGAAAAAGCATGGGAACCTATTAATTATTACTTTTTACATCTTTAGAAAAACAAGATTGAATTATAAATTGAAAAATTCCATGTGTTCTATCCATATCTTCAACTCCAATTAGTGGGCATGCCAAAGAGGGCTCTCCAACTCAAGGGGCATCCATCAACAAAATAACTTCATTCTCTCTCTTCAATCTAACAGCTGAAGCCAGAAGTTAAATGTTTAATAAAACTACAGACTTTGCACTTCATCCTCATTTTCTTATTTTGATAAAAAAATAAATAAAATCTTGGACTTATTGAATGATCATCAGTCAGTGCTTGACAGTCTTATGCAACCTTGTATCTCAATATATGATTAAAAGAAAGCAAATTGAAAACGGATTTTAGGACTTTTAAAGAAGATCACTGATCAAATTATTTCCACCCAGCTTGGTCAACTCCACTAGCTTACATACACACATATCAGGATAATAAATGCCCAACACCCACATTTACTAAAGTATAGTTTTCCATACTCCAATATCCCATATTGTTCAGATTCCAAAGTTTATAGCCTCTCCATATCTTTGAAAAATAGATAAGCTAAAAACAAAACCATCTCAATTAAATTGTTTCCTAAATTTTAATTAAAACTAATCAAACGCAAATGAATAGAAAACCAAAAGTGACATGAAAGAAAGAGAGAGAATAATTACATTTTATAAGCCTGAATAAAAATGCTGCCACCAGAACCACCACCACCTTTGTTCCCTCCATCTCCTCCATCAGCCAAAACGTTGCCGTCTACCACTACAAACCCTGTAATTTCCAACTTTACCCTCCCACCACCACCACCACCATAGTCTACCTCCTTGCTGGTAGTCCCTCCTTTACTCCCAAAACTTTCAGGAGTCTGCAAAGACGACCACGAATACGCATCTCCGCCCCACACGTCCTCAGGCAACTTAGTATCGTCCACCAAGCAGCACGCACCTCTCCCTCCATGTCCCCCGCCTGCCCCGTCTATCCCCTGGGGTGTCCCGCTCGTCTGTGGTGGTGGCTTTCCCGCCAAACCAGTTGTGTTCAGAACTGAGTTGTTTAAAAACGATGCGTTCTGAGCAACGAGTTCCAAAGCCCCCGTCACAATAGAAGAATCCTTGCCTAAAGTAAAATTACCGCTTATGTTGAGGATTATCGAACATCCAGAGATTGGGCAATGGAACTTGACACCGGGTAGGATTACAAAATTGCCCTTCCCGGCAATGTACACGTCACGTGTGAGGTTCAAGTCGCTGACAATCTGACACGTGGAATCGAGCGAGCCGATGCCACCAAGATCGTCAGTGCATGACACCGACGGCGCGTGAGGCGGCGGCGGAGGAGGGGCTGGTGGAGAATAATCTTGGTGGAAGAGATTGGTATCGAAATCAATTATCGAGAAATCATCGTCATTTATCGACGACAAAATAAAGTTAGGGTTTACGGTGAGGATCAGAAGGATACAAAGTATGGTAAAATTAAGAGTGTGGAAGGGAGAGTGAATTCGAGCCATTCACTTGCTGTTGAAGTCATTAGAATTGAAGGTTAGAATTTGAATTTGAAATGAGATTGAATTGAAAGCATATGGACATAACCGTTGACACCACCATCTTTACGTAAATGTTTTATGTACAAATTTTTTGAGAATTTGTATAATTTTACTGAAAACCCTAGAATTGTCCCTCTGCAACAAAAGTTTTTGAGAGAGGTGCAAGGCTCAAATTAGAGGGAGGCTTTATTGTGCGAGGAAAGGGAAAATAATTTAAGGGTATCAAGATTAAGTGAGCTTGAAATTCCATTGGTTAGATTTATGGGTCCTCATTTCTTTTTTTGACTTTTGGTACTTTTACTGAATAACAGAGTGCCACGTTTTAAAGTTCAGTGGATTTGAGCGCGCTAGATTTGTTATGCACACCTCCTGACAACGAGAAATAACTAATAATAAATTATTAAGCAAAGAATTGCGACGTGAGTACGTGACCGACGCCGTAGGCGAGTGAAGTTAATAGAAGGCGCGTGGGAATTAGATTCTTCGCCTCTAAGAAATGATCGGGAGAGAGAATGTTAATTGGTCTGTGACAGAAGGCGGGTGAGGGTTATGAGCTGAGATTTTTAATTTAATTCTTGGAAAAGAGAGGACAGTTGGTAAAGGAAGGCAGTGCAAGGTGTCCCAGAGAAGCTATTTTTGGGCAGCGATGCCGTTTCGTTTCGTAACAACTAACAAGTTTTTGATACGTTACGGTTTTACAGTATTAATAATGTATAGTAGACCAAAGTCGAAGAGAATAACCATTCTTGTTTATGAACAATTCAGAAACGACATCCAGGATTAGAAAATGAATGACGTGTAGCTTAAATTATCCCTAGTTTTATTTGGCATTTATAATATGTTGTTCAATTTTATTTATGAAGAAATGTTTCACACCAATTATTTTAAAGAGTAAACGACTTTTTCCCACCCAAAAAATACTATTTTCTTATCCAAACTTTATATTCCGACAACTTGTTAGCCAATTCCAACATATTTACAATCCCACAGCGTTACTATTCTCTTTCTTAATCATCACTTACTAATACCTCTCAAACCTTGCTTCTGTCGACCCTACCAATTACCGACAATCATGTGATTTGTGAAACGCGCAACCGCCCCTCCCAAGTCAGATTCCAACCAACCTCAACCACCAAAATCCAACCTTCACCACCAAAAGACTCACCGACATCCCCTCTTCAAAAGCCTCAATAGTTTGGATCAAGTTAGCTCTCCGTTGACCTCTGAATTGGAAAAGATATTCTGGGTAGTAAACAGAATGTAAACTTTGGGTGAAAAAGTAGTACTTTGAAACTTTTTTGGTGCGAAAATGTCATTAAGGCAAACCTTGGGTGGGAAAAAGTTTTTACGCTTATTTTAAAACAATCTGTTGTTGTCTTGAGAGAATGACACGCTAACACTATCCTTCTCTAATGGTCAAACCTAAAAACATTTAATTTTATAATAAAGTCGGTTTTGACACTCACAGATAAACACAAAAAAGAAATGGCAGACAAAGCCATACAGGACAAAGGAATAAAGTAATACGAATGAATTGTAGATTTATAGCATACAACACACTAGATAATAACGTCTGAAGTTCGTCTAACCTCAACAAAAGAATTGCACAATTATGGTGACAAAGCCAATATACATGTATATCCTCTAGGACCTCTACTAACCTCACCCAGAATGAAATAACAAAATCAAAGTAATATGTATGAATCATTGAAATTTTTTTACATTGTAGAGTTGATGTGGTAGATCAATTATTAGGTCAAAAATATACAAAACTCACATCAACTCTCTTTGTGGAATAATGCCTCTGACAGAAACGCCATATCTCACTAATTTGCACGTTCAAGGTGATAAATCTGTTGGCACTCTGATGAAAAGCTTTCCGGCCTGCTTCAGATTAACCACTTTTCCCAAGCTCAATTCCTTTTTCTTTTTGGGGAAAGAAGAACATGGGAGCTTCTCGAGTTCAATGGTAACTACAAATCCAAATAATGGCTTAAATTTCTGCGGGTTTCTTCATCCGATAATTTTGTCATAGCTTTCTTCTCTATTCTCCTTATCCACTCTTTGCTCACGTGGAAAAGCTTCCCGATCTCCTCAAGCGACCTAGGGCAATGATCCTTAAGCCCATATCTTAGCATCAATACTTGTCTCTCCCTTGAATCTAAATTCTTTAAAAGATTATAAATGTCTTTCTTCATGTGTTGCCTTGTCACAATTTCTTCAGGACAGTTTATAGACAAATCAGGCATAAATTCCTGCATTATCATTCCCATGAAACACTTTGCTGTCAATCAAATAATTGATATCTAAAATTTTAACAAATATGAAATGCTACTATCACTTATATGTAAATAAGATTGCATCTATAGTGTTGTCTCATATTAAACTTGCACCCACTAGTAGGATTATTCTTCCCATACTTATTTGGAGAAATAAAAAAGGAAGATGTAATACTTTAGCATGCAAGGCTTGGAGACGATGCCAGGAATCAAGTAGACATATAATGGGGTGTACAATTTGAATTTTCTTACTTATAAAACGTGCATATGTGCATACACATTCATATTAATAAAGTTATTGAACATAAGTAACACCATCCCCTTGTACCTCAATCAAATCCCCAACCCAAATAAAGGATCCCCCTCCCTAAGAGAGAGAAGGAAGAGAGACATAGACAGAAAGGATCCATCTTCCAAGGCTTCCCGAAAAAAAGAGTGATTAAACAAATACAAGAAACTTGGTATTCCACCAAAATCAAAGAGTTTTATCAAACATAGTAGGCATTGGCTCCAAACATTATGATGATAAATTCATTGCCCTGGGCCAAAGGACAAAAATAGCATACCTACAACTTGTAATTAGAGAGACTTAACATGTAAAACAAGGCACTTGAAGAAGAAAACTAAGTTCTGCTCATACCAAATATTTTGCATTCAGCCAATCCCCTATTTTCTGATCAATTGACCCCACAACTCGCAGGCATTCGCTAGCTGATCTGATTTCAGCCAAAGAAAGACCTGTGAACTTGGCAATCTCAATATCTTCTGGATATTTTCCATGGCTGCTGTTCAAGGCTTTTCGAGCTTTCTGTATTTTATTTATTGACCTGCTTAGTGTGTACTGCAAAAAGTAACGAAACCAAAACAACACATGAATCAAGCTCCGCTCTAATTAAAAATTATGATTGTACAAGAAAACAATCTCCAAAATAAGAAAGAGAGATACAGGAATTTTGATTCCCCTAGCATGCTGTGCCACCATCCTTGAAATTGATTTCCTTATCCAGTACTGAACATAGGTTGAGAATCTGTATCCCCTTGTATGGTCAAACCTCTCCGCACCTTGTAGAACACCAAAATTTCCGGCCTGTCAATAGGGGAACATTAATTGATGTCTAGTCAAGGAATAAACAAATTGAAAGATTATGTGCACAGTAGCAATTCTTCAAACTAAAACATGTCAAGAAACCTGAACTAAGTCTGCTAATGGGATTCCTAGACCCCTGTAATTTCTTGCAACGTATAACACTAAGGAGCGAGTACCCTGTAGCAGCTCATCTCTGCAATACCAACCAAAACACAGATACTGCCGCAGCACCTTCTCACTGACTCCAGCTGCTTCAGCCCAGCAACTCAAACTGAGAACTTGCCCTGCTTCTTCTTCCAAAGTTGTTCTGATTCTTTCCAAGTTTGCAACCACCTGTAATATCTCAAAAATAGATTATCAAAAAGATATCCCACAGACATGATGAACGAAAAGTCATTTCAAACTAGAAGTCGGAAACAACCTTAACCCCCTTTGACATCTCTGCCTCATTTCTAGCAATCATTGATCTTCTGCTTCTAGAGTTTGATTTTCTTTTCGTGAAAGAAACAGTGCGCTGCTCTAAATTTCCACAGGTGGCTTTTGAAGGCAATGACACTGAAGAAGTTTTACTAGACTTTTCTGATACTCTTTCTGTCCTTGATTTTCTCTTTTCCTTCCTTTTAGAGTGAATAATTATCTTCCCCTTGTGATTCTCCACTGTGCCATTCATTGTCTGCTCAGCAGGAACATCAGACAAATTAAAAATACTTGAGGTTTTTGGTGTCCTAGATAGACAAGTATTGAATAATTTAAGAGCTCCAAGTCTTCCTAATTGTTGCAGAATCTCTCTTTCCAACCTCAACACATCCGAATCAGCAAATGTTGACTCTAAAACATAAAGATTTTCCATTAGTAAACCATAATCCGATGTGCTGCACATATTTTGGCCTCTTTGTGACGCAGATTTCTGCGAAATTTTATCTGTTTCTGAGTAATCATTTTCTAAGGTCTGTGGACCAGCAGATGAACGAGCATACGCTTTTGCAGGATCATGAGAATAGCTAGAAGCCTCCTCAGAAATTATAGACAGGAAAGACAACCTTACTGAGTTCAAGCTACCCTCCCTGCCTCGAACTGCATAAATTCAGAAGCAACAGTCTCTCATACAATCCCCACAAAGAAATGAAATTTACAAACAAAACACTGGCTAACAACAAAATACAATATAAGCCTTACTATAAAACATACTGATTGAAGATATGTGGACTGGAAAAACATATTGAAAAAACAAACTATCTCGCCACCTATAATTGTGGATAAATCTTTTTTTTATATATAGTAATAGAGATAAGTGATGCTTAAGTCTGAAAATTAACCGGATAGAGTTATCAAACTAACGCAACCTCAGGATCATAGCATGTAACAAAATAGATTAAACTTGGCAGTTTTACTCCATTCAATAAGTTTTGGTGCTTTGGTTGTTATTACTATAAACGACTTGAAAGTTCTTGTTCAAACATAGAAACAAAATCCAAACCCAGTAATATTTTTATTTGATAAACAAGAAAAGTTGACACTCTCACCACTTATCAACCTGATAAACCAGGTACCTTCTCTTTATTTAACCAATCAATTAATTCTGTTGTGTTCAGGAAGGGGCAGAAGATATAGAAATTAATTAAGTCACTCACCAGAGGCAGAAGAGAGCCTGCAAGAGGAAGTTGTGAAACAATTAGACTGAAAGGGGGAAACCCACTTGAGATTCAGTCTGAAACCCATCCCCCTTGAACCAGAGAAACAGAGTCCATTAATTCCACATACACTTGCCCCTCGCTTAGTCTTAGGCTAGCCGCTTAAACCAAGTGCAC